CCGGCCTCCTGGTTGGCGCTGGCCTACTACATGGATGCTCATCTTTAGGCTTTGGGGCTTTAGATCGCTGTCAGGCCTTAACACTCCTGCTTATTTCTTACAGCCAACATTGGCACCCAGACCACAGGAGCCAGTGGGGTGGGATATTCTACACCAAGCGGGCCTCTCCTGATGCACAAATATTCCTCAGCAACACTCAACCCTGGGGTAAGGCTGGCCTGACTGCCCTCTTAGTCCAGGCTCCGGGAGGCTTGGCTCAGAACCTTGGCTAAGGCATTGGAGGCATTGGCCCTCTCCAGGCCTTGTTATTTGTTTTTGTTTTTGTTTTTTTCTTTTCTTGAATTGTGAAGTATCATTTACTAATGTGTACAGTCAAGAAACAATCCCCTTTACTAACAGAAGGAGGGAGAGGACCAAGATCACATTTGGTTTATTAATTATGATTTGCTCTGCCTGGGTTATTAGAAAAATTAATCTGGATTTCTTTAGTATTCAGCGTTGAGCAGCAAGGAAAGATCTTCTAGAAATACGCTGAATATTTGAAAGGTTGTGATTAAAAAGCTATGTATTTATCTCCCTGCCCCCTGCCCAAGTCCCAAACTCGGCATTATCCTATCCTGTCTAGAATTTCAATGCGTATACTTCAAACTCTTTCTTGCAAAAAGAACAGGTGTCATCTTTAAACGGCAAAATGTGCTGGAAGTTACAATGTGGAAGGGTCAGGAGTATGCTGGGGATGTGGCCATAAAGCTACGTGATAAAAAGTACGTTATCTGGCACAAAGTGAATAGTAACGCTTTCCTATGGCAGCATTCAGGCGGGGGCCGTTCTAGGTTCCTGGCACCGTGGAAGGCATCTGAGTTAGAGTGTGTCTAGCCCACTGTGCCCTTGTGAGGGACATTGTCCCTACTTTGCCCCCTGCCGCGCTCTTCCAGAGCTTCCCTGGAGGCCTGTGCCCCGCTGACAGGGTAAGCGTGGCGAGGCCTTGCCTGTCCATGGTGGTTAAGGGACGTGTCCCGGCACCGTGTACAGGTGCAGGAGCCCGCTGTGCGCATCCCGGGACAGGAGCCCCTGACGGCGTCCATGCTGGCCGCGGCGCCGCTGCACGAGCAAAAGCAGATGATTGGTGAGTGGCTGCAGCCGGAAGCGGGGGCTGAGAGGGGGCCAGCCTGGTGGGGGGAAACCTCGGGTGGAGGTCAGACGTGTGGACGGGGTCCAGCATTGCTGTGGACCAACCTGCTGGATGACCTTGCTGGGGTCGCCTCGGCTCTCTCGGCCTCTCTCTCTCTCTCAAAACACTGGTCAGACCAGACGGTCCCGAAGTTTCTTCAGCTCTGCTGTCCCAGGCACCCGACGGGCTGGAGAGAGCCCAGCTGTGGGCAGATCGGGGGCCAGGAGCTAGGGTGTGATCTTGGGCTTCTGCCGGTGGGTGTCGCAGCTCCTCACCTCTCCTGAAGGGGAAGAGGCTGTCCCCACACACGTCGTCTAGCTCCCAGTGGCCACTTCAGGGAGGCGGGAAATAAGTGTGCATGGGGCAGGGGGCAAACACACGTTCCCTGCTGGGCTGTGAGTTCCTTGTGTGGTTCGTCCCCAGCCCAGTGTCTACGGCAGGCCCTGCCAAAGGATGCTACTCACTGTCGAATGAATGACAGGCTTGCTACTGGGTGGCAGGTTCTTCCCTCCGTGGCCACCAAGATGTCCAGGGTCACTCTGAGGACCCCCTTTGCCACCACCCTGTTGTTTCCTCAGCTCACCTGGGGTTTTGCCACTTCCCACTGCTCAAAGGAAATTCTGCATGGGCTTCATGGAGGCAGGAGGCTGTTAGCCGTTCCCTGTAAACCTCTTCACTTTCCTCGCCGGAAAACCTCTCACCCCAACACCCCAGCCTGGCCAGACCCTCCACACATTGCTGAGAGGGGCTGGCCACCAGTGCTAGGCCCTGTCACTAGAAGTGCCTGACAGTGGAAGGTGAATTTATCTCGTGTGTGTGGCTCCCACCGCCCCCTCAGAAGTCCAGTTCGGCCTTAGCATATCTTGTCTAGAATTTTGGTGTGTATAGGGGAACTATTTCTTACAAGATGAGCAAGAGTAGTCTTTAAACCCCAAGTCTGTGTCCGGCCCTGTGTAGGTGACTTCACCTAGAATATCAAATTTGATTCTTCAAATTAGCCTCCGAAGCAGGGTTTGTTCTGCACACTTTATGGTTGGGAAAGAGGCTCCCAGTGGAGCTGAGGGACACAGCCTAGAAGGAGCAGTTCTGGGACGAGCCCCCAGATGCCTCACTGCTCCATTCCACAGCACCCATCACCCTCCCCACCGCCCCTGGGCTGCTGGGGTATCAGCCAGGTGTTCTATACAGGTGAGCGTCTGTACCCCCTTATCTACGATACCCACACCCAGCTGGCTGGCAAGATCACAGGCATGCTGCTGGAGATCGACAACTCGGAGCTGCTGCTCATGCTGGAGTCCCCAGAGTCCCTCAACGCCAAGGTGGTCTGGGGTCTGGGTGCCAGGGTGCTCTGCGAGAGCTCATGACAAAGACCTCTCCTAGAAGGGCTCCCAGGCTGTGGCTGGGACGGTTTCCCTTTTCCCTAATGCCAGCTAGCACTTGCTGAATCTTTGAGCGACGCGGTGGGGCGGGGGTGGGGTGGGGGGCAGGGTGCTATCCCAGCCCTTCCAGATTAATTCTCTGCAGCAGCTCCCCGTGCAAGGTTTTGGTGCAAGGAGCTGTGTTGTGACGGAGTATAGGGTTAAGATTCTCCCAGCTGTCCAGCAGTGGACACCTGTCTGGAGCAGGTGACTGGGGGTTTCCGTCAGGGGCACTTGGGGGCAGCAGCGCCATGGAGGGAGGGGACTTCGAGTACCTAGCACACTTAGGCACTCCCCGCCGGGCAGCGGCACTAACCACCAACCCCCCTGCCCCCCACCCCTCCCCCGTGTCCCACAGGTGGAAGAGGCTTTGGCAGTGCTGCAGGCACACCAGGCCACAGAGCTGAGGACGGTGAACGTGCTCTGAAACCAGGTGGGTGGCTCGGGGCGGGGGCCAGGGGGACAGACGGAGACGGAAGCAGCTGAGCCCAAGGGAAGCTGGGAAAAACTAGTCAGGGACTGACTCTCAGAAACTGTGTAGCTGGCTTTCTCTGAGGCACCAAGGAGTTTGGAGGAAGCTGTAAAGATCAAAGGAAAGGGACAGACGGTAGGATTAGTGCAAAGTTCGGGCGTCCTCCTACCAGCTACCCTGCCTGGCCTCACTGGGGATAGGCCAGGCTGCCCCTGTGCATTGGCCGGCTTCACGCTCCTTGACGGAAGGCCTGCCTTGGCCCACCACCTTCTTAAGTTGAAGGCCGCGAGTCTGCTCTATGTCAGAAACATTTATTCCTACCGTTTCATCCCCAGAAAATGGAATCCTCACTCCCTTGGCTGACAAGAGAACGGCGCTTCCTGCTCTTGGCTCTCCGTCCCTGTGAACCGTAACTTACCTCCCCATGGGGCCACATCTGCACTGGAGCTCCGGATGTGGGATGAAGGCCAGTCATCCCGCCAGCCTATCACCTTTTGCTTTGTGCATTAAAAGTGCTGCAAACTCTGTCTTGTCTCCCAGGAGGCCTTCTTGTGTCTGAGGGAGGTGGGGCAAAGCTAAGGGTGGGGGTTTGACTGGGTTGGGGAATTGCCTGGAAGGAACAGAAACCCAGAGAGTGCTGAAGTAGGTGTGTACAGCAGAGCAGATCCGCACCCAGCGGTGGTCCTCACACAGCACCGAGAGAAGGAACTAAAGCTACAGGTGCCCGTGTCTGACGCACATGGAGGTTTCTGGATGCCTGGCTTGAGTGCCCTGCAGCGCAGGTATACACCCCAGAAACACCAACGGCTTCTGGGCTCTGGCTGACTGGGTGATTGTGTAACATAATTCTAGAAGAAACCACATAGAATCGCTTTCGGATACCTTCCCCAGTCATGATTTTACCTTCTATGTGTTCATTAGCAAATCAAGATGCTTGCCTTCTAGACCTTGGGAAGAAAAAGTCAATTGTGAATGGAGGTCACCACTAAGCCTGCCTCCCATCAGTGAAGAGTCTTGCCTGAGAGGTGACAATAAAAGGGGTACAGCTCCCCACTCTGGTCCCTTGGCCATGCACATGGGTCTCTCTGTGAACCCTAAAATCTGCTTAGCCCAGAGGTCTGTGGACTCATCCTTCAGAGGTCAGAAGCTGTGCTACCAGCTGAATGGTGCTCAGCACTCCTGTGACAGGAAGCAAAGGGACAATGAAATCCCTCTGCTCTTAGAGAGTCCTCAAACTGCTTGCTTCTCCATTAAGGGGAAAGCAATTTGGGCGCCTGGGTGGCTCCGTCGGTTAAGCGTTTGCCTTCGGCTCGGGTCATGATCCCGGGGTTCTGGGATCGAGTCCCTCATCGGGCTCTCTGCTCTGCAGGGAGTCTGCTTCTCTCTCTGCCCTTCCTCCCACTCGTTCTCTCAATTTCTCTCTCAAAAATCTTAAATTCCGCCCCCCCCCCCCTTTTATTTTTAACTGGGACACAGCCCAGGAAAGCACTTTCTGCTCCCGGTCCTCACCCTCTTCTCCTAGCTGAGGCCTTTACAAATGTCTGTTTTGTCTGCTGGGACTGCCTTTCTGCCCTCTTCACCAGTTCAACTCCCACGTTAGAACTCAATGCAAGCTCCACTTACTCGCGGACCCCTTTACCCCCAAGTCAGGGGGGGAAGGCGCTGTGTGAAAGGTTCCCTCTAAGATGCGCAGGCTGCAGTCTGTTCTGGGGTTCTCTGATCACCTTCTTCCCTGCCCACCAGAGCCCCAGCCGTCCGAGAGCGGGGACCGTGTCGGTTACTGTGGTTTCCCCCGCACTGGACACAGAGCCTGACCCATGCACACATGCCAGGAAGTCTGGTCAGCCGAGGGCACAAATGCTCAACACGCTGCAGCTCTTTATTCCTGCAAAGTTCCAAGCACACAGCTGAAAAAGCACACACGGAAGCACAGCAGACGTTTATGTACCAGAAAGATGTTTAATGCAATAGCTTGAAGACACAGTTCAACAAAATCAGTCCATTTTTAGTTCAAATTAACTTCACATGACAAAAAACCAAGAAGCTTAGGGGGGACCACTGTTGAGGTCAAAAGGAGGTCCCTGCCCAGAGTGGAAGGCCACAGACTTCAAGAAGGCCTTTCTCTCCATCCCACCTTCAGGGAGGGGCCACACCTCCGGACTCTTAAAACCGCTTAGGCACACCTCCCCGTCGGAAGCGGCAGCAGCCCAGAGCTACAGCCAAGGCCACCCGAGCGTCAGGATTGTGTGTCCCTACCAGAGCAGGGCCCAGCCAGAAGGCGCCGGAGCTCAGAACACCAGGAGCTCTGCCACGGACTGGGTGGGGACGGCAGCCCTGGAGAACCAGCTCAACAGGCCGCTTTGGGCTCTAGTTTACCCCTCCCCCACTCCCGACCCCCGCGCTCAGTTTGCTCAGGTGAAGCCCAGTGAGATGGGTCTGGGGAAGCTAGGGGGGCAGCCGTGGGGAGCATGCTCGGGGCAGGGGCAGACCGAGTGCTCTGCGAGCTGTCCGGGGCAGGCGGCAGGGGGGACGGTTCCAGCAGAACAACATCTGGGGGTTTTGTTTGGTTTTTTCTTTTTACTACTCTGAGCTTAATTGTGAACAAAGCAAAGCCTCCTAAGGGGTGGGAAGCCATCACCTCTGAGTGGCCTCAGAGCTCGCTCGGGGGCATGCTGGGTCCCGGGAGCAGGCACAGAGGAGGGAGCTCGGGCAGAGGCTTCCCGCTAGCCTTCTGGGGCTTTAGTTTAAACTCTGGTTAACTTCCTGCTGCAGCTTCCGGGCAGGGCCATTCCTGGGCTCAAGCTGCAGAAGGCTGCTGATGTCTGCAAAGCTGGATTTGTAGTCCTGGGAGGAGAGACAAAGGCGTGAGAGGATGGAGACCGGGCCGAGGTGCGCCGCGGCTGCCAGGGCACACAGGGTCTCGAACCCCAGCCTGCGGGCCTGCCCTGGGCCACCACCTGGGCTCCCCTGGGAGGGGAAGGGACGTGCCCCCGCCCGCGCTCTGGAGGTGCCACCACAGGCACAGGTGTCTCAGCGGGGGCCCGGCAGTCAGGCTCTTTTTACCTCGAGTGCCTTGTAGGCTTGCGCTCGTCGGTACAAGGCCTTCACGTTCTTTCCATCCAGCCGGAGCGCTTCCGTGCAGTCCCTCGCTGCTGCCTTGTACTGCTTCAGGGCCAGATGGCAGAGCGCTCTGACGGGAAAGGCCGTTGGGGAGGGTTCGCTCACTGCTTGGCGGCCGCCCACCAGCCGTGAGGCGGTCGGAGCGGTGGCCTGGGAGGCGGCAAACACCGCTCCGGGCCGGTGACCGTGCGGCCTCCTCCCCCGCGCGGCGAGGCCGGGCCCGTCCCCGCAGCCGTGACCCGCCGGCTCGGCGCGGAGGGGCGAGGGGACCGGCGCCAGCCCCGGGGGCGGGCGCTCCACGACCCGGACCGTCCTGACCGCGTGGCCTGTCCCTCGGGCCACCTCCGGCCCGCTCCCGGCCTGCGCTCTTTTGCTCCTGAACCCCGCCCCCGGCGGATTAAGAAGTCATCTACCGCTAGGTGCTGGACCCCGAGCACGTGCACGCGGACACGGCGGCGGGCAGACGGAAGGGGGTCTGCAGCTCACCGGGAAACGCGCCCAAACCGAGAGGCACCGGGTCAGCGGCTACGTGGCCACAGAGCAAACGTAGCAAAATGTTAACGGGGAATTCAGACGGTAGGTGTATGCGTGTCCACTGTACAGTTCTTTCAACCTTATATTGTGAAAACTTTCATAATCATGGAAAAAAAAATAGCAGCATACATCCGTACAACAAAATGTTCTGCATCTACGGGGGAAAAAAGTGTGTACATCTTCCCCATTCTTTTCTCTGGAGATGGCCACTAAGAACAGGTGTCTTGGCGCTCCTGTAACTCCATCCACTCCACCTCACCATTCCCAATGGGAGCAGAGCAGTATTCACTTAGTTGGATGAACCACAACTTATTTTGCCAATTCCTTATCTGGAGATTATTATTTTCATCGCTTCCAGTTTGCTAATACGAGATGCTGCCATGAGCACCCTTGTGCATAAAACTTAAGATGCCTACCGGGAGGAACGGATGGGTCAGCAGATACGTGCATTTATAATCGCGACTATCATTGCCAAAATGCTCTGCAAAGGACCTGTTCTCTTAGGCTCTATCAGTAACTTTCTATTTTCCTGTAACTGTACTAACCCTGGGGTCAATCTTTAACTTCAGTCAATAATGGAAGAAAACAAGGTCCATTTTAATGTAGTTCCTTTAACTATAGGCAAAGCTCAGTATCTTTACATAAGGCTTTTTAACCTCATGAAATCAAATTTACCTTTCCTTTAACGCCCTCTCTGGTCCCTATCCCCCACCCCACAACAATTTTATTTTAATACTTTCCCCACTGCAAGATAATTAACCCATGCATTCTTCTACGACTTGGTGGTTTTATTTTCTACATTTGAAACTGTGATCCCCTTAGAATTTGCTTTAAAATACACAGTGAGGTAAGGACTCAGGTTTATTTTTAATTTTAAATGAGACTCTTCTGAAGGTCCATTCAGGGAAAGCTGTAGGTGCTGGGCACCCGAGTGATATCCCCACTCAGGTACCAACTGCACAGAGAGAAGGGAAGGAAGCCAAAGACGAGGAGCTGGTACACAGAGCTGCAGAGCCACAAGGCGGAGCATTAAAATGGCATCCAGGATGTGGTGTAATTTCAGCCACAACGGATGGAAAATTCAGTTTTGTGTCAAGTTATCAGTCCTTGAAATTAAATTTATAAATTCAATGTAACCACAACCAAAAGCCCACCAAGATACTTTTTGGAGTCATCAAAATGATCCTAAGGTTTAGCAAGAAGAACAAACCTGGGAAAATAGCCAGTGATGCTCTGATTAAGAACAAGGAGAAGACCAGCCCTACCAGATAGTATAAAGCACTAATAATTAAAACAGTGTGGCACAGGGGGCGCCTGGATGGCTCAGTCATTAAGCATCTGCCTTCGGCTCAGGTCATAATCCCAGGGTCCTGGGATCGAGCCTCGCATTGGGCTCCCTGCTCCGTGGGAAGCCTGCTTCTCCCTCTCCCACTCCCCCTGCTTGTGTTCCCTCTCTGTTAAAAAAAAAAAAAAAAAAAAGTGTGGCAAAAACATACTTGTATGAAAAACTGTATTTAAACAAAACAAAGCATTGTCTTGAATGTATTAAAAATCCAGGAAAACAGGCTAATAGAGATCTCTCTCAGTATGAAAGAAGTGAGTCCAGAGGGCCCAGAGATGGGGGCGTCAAAATGCTGCAGCAGAAACCTAGAACAAACGGGCAGCAGCCCTTCCTTCCGGTGAGCCTGGCAGACTGAGGCATCCCTGGTCCAATCAGCCAGTAAAACCACAGGTCTCAAATTCCAAAATCCACGCTTCAAAACGAAAAGTCCTCTTTTGAACTTATTTGACAGCAAAACCTGACCTGCACAGGCCTGAGGTTACATGGAATTTCCCCGTGTTTCAGGCAGAAATGTTAACAATGAACTTCATCCACCGCCCAGACCCTGCGGGAGTATTATGTGATCCAATATACGGACCATATTACCTTACTCAGATCTGGAACACCTTTTATCCCAAGAATTTTGGATAGGGAATGGCAAGACTATAGTAGAGCCAAGATTTTTGAACTAAAGAGTAATTATGTGTATGTTAGCAGGGCGGGAGAAACAATTTATAACATTTTGTAGTAAATCTTTTATAAGCAAGATTTGGATCAGATAAGGTCCCTTGCTGAATGTTTCAAGCTTCTGACAGTAAAACTGATAGATCTCATCGGAGCCAGGCTGCAAGTCTGTCTCCACCATTTACTGACCGGGTGAGCAGAGGTAAAGCCCTTCTGGCTCTGAGCTTCTGATTTCTTGACTTTAAAAAAGGGGAAGACCACCCACCACCAGTACGCCCCAGCGTGTTGCAAAACCGTAACTCCCACCCAATAAAGGAATAGTGACCCCACTGTCGGTGGAAAGAACCAGCATTCACGTCCAGCAGCTTGTGGTGCAGGGTGTTCAACTGCGCCACAGGTCACATCCTTCAGGCTAGACGGGACCACCTCTCTTGCTCCCAGGCCAGGCGATAGTCCACACCCTGGGTTCTGTCCTGGTGCTGAGACGGTGCCAACCCTTCTAATAGGAGGGTCCGGGGAACCCGTGGGGCTGGGGCAAGGGGGAGGGCTACGAGACACATGTTGAGGCTGTGTTTGTATAAGCACACCGCTCTTATTTATGGAGTGTGCTCATCTGGATGGTTCATGAAAACCTGAGGGGGAGGGAGGCTGACAGAGCCCAGGCTCCACGTTGGCATTGCTCAGTTTCTTTTTTTTTTTTTTTAAGATTTTATTTATGTATTTAACAGAAAGAGAGCACAAGCAGGTGGCGTAGCAAGCAGAGGGAGAGGGAGAAGACTCCCCGCCGAGCAAGGAGCCCGATGTGGGGCTCGATCCCAGGACCCTGGGACCACGATGCGAGCCGAAGGCAGTCGCCCCAACCAAGCCACCCAGGTGCCCTGGCATCGCTCAGTGTCTATTCCTTTAAGAGAGTGAACGCCACTGGCCACACCTGCCTCACGGTGACCGAAACAACTGGGAATGCCTATTTTGAGCTGCGACACACTGACTAAGCGCTAAGAATGAAGAGCCCGCCCCAGTCCGAGAGAAGACTACGGACAACAGCCGACGGCCTGAAATCCCCCAGGCCAGCGGCTGGTGGCAGGTACCTGTTGCTGTATGTGGCGGACTCCATGTCACTAAAGGAGAGGTTTTCACTGTACTTCTCAATAGCTTTCTTATGGTTTCCCTTCTTTACAAGCTCATTGCCTTCTTCCTTCAGAACTCTGGCTCTCTCCACATCCCCAGCAGAAAACGCTAGATGCAAATTCAGAAGAGGAAAAAGCCATGGAGCAGGTGCCCAAGATCCATGAGGCCTCGCCGGCATCAGCTCTTCCACGTCGTCTGCGACCCTCTCCCCCCTCCCCGAGACTTCCTACACTGCTCTGAAGCAGCCCCCCGGAGGAAGGAGCCCCCCTCACAAGGCTTCTGGGAAATTAAAGAGGTTTTCAGTCAGAGGAGGTTGGGGACTCCTGATGGAAACACACACAGACATGCACGTAAGAAGAGATATGTGGTAAAGAGCAAGCTGGGTTCTAGCCCCAGCACCGCCCCTTAGTAGCCGGGGACCTCGGGTGACCTGCCTAAGTCTCTGGGTCCTCAGTTTCTCTGTACGCTGGGGCACTAGCTACCCCACCCAGGGCTAGCGTCAGGACAAAACCTGAGAGTACACCACAAAGTGCGGAACACCCTATAAACTTAAAGCAGGAGATAAATATTTAAATAAGCAAGCATCTCAGAAAGAAATGGTGTAGCTCCCGGGCTTGCAGAAGAGCCCACCATTCCCCATCTCTGTTTGGTCGGAGCCTGCACCTTCCCTCGCCTACCCCATGCCACTTGGCCCCAGCCTTGACAGACGGAGACACAAGGTGAAATCTGGGCTGCTCGCCTGGCCCTCAGGCCCTTCACCGCGCAGCCGCAACTCAATGCTCCAGCCCCAGCTCCCAGATCACCGGGTTTCTTTAATTTTTAAAAAACGATCTCTATAAAATCCTGAATATCTGCAACATGGGTAAGGTTTTAGGAACAAAACTAACACCCTTGCACTCATCCCTCACCTTAAGAAATAGAACCTTTACTAAGACCTTTAAAGCCCTGCAGGGCCCCCTCCCCAAGTCAATCCACCCCTGGAGGAAACCATGATCCCCCATCCTGCGCTTCCTTCCCCCTTTTTCTTCTTGGTAGCTTAACTATATACGATAGTTCCTACAAACCATTTGCTGTTCATTTTGTTTTTAAATCTCGTATAAAAGAATAAGTAATTCAAGTATTCCTCTATGACTTGGCTTTGTTTCTTCCCCTCGGCGCCGTATTCCTCAGATTCAGCTGTATTGATGCACACCCCCGTAGTTCGTTCGCACCGCTGTGGTTCGGCTCCGTCATCCCTTCTGCTGAGAGCCCTGCGCTGTTTCCAGCTTTGTTGTTCACTGTTGCAAACACCCTGCTGCGAACCTTCCTGCGCGTCTCCTTGCGGGGGGCTGCGGGGTCCCCACCCCTTCGGCTTTGCCCCGGCTCTCCACACACCACGCCGCAGGCGCGCGGACCCCCACTGCTCCCCAGCGATACCCACGCACTGCATTCTCTAGCTCTCTCCGCCGTCTCCGCCAGAGATGCCCTTCCCTTCCCTCGCCCAGCTGAAGACCGCCCCCCTCTGCCCCCCTCAACGTCCAGCTCAACCTGTCACCTCCTCCGGGAGCCTTTCCCTGACTCCTCCAAGTGCACACGTGTTAGTTCCTGTTTCGAACTCCCCAAACACTAAAGGCTCTGTGTCGTGCTGTTTGGCGCAGAGCTGGAAAATAGATGGCTCAGTGGCTCTGCAAGAATGAAATACCTGGTAGGTGCCCCGAAGCCATTTTGGTTAGCGCCTCACATCTCCATTCTGGAGAAGGGTGGGGGGGCACTTACCAGGTTCCCACAAACCAGAGTGAATGCGACCCACGGCCGGACACGTTCCCTCCCAGGAAGGGGGGGTGACCCTGCCCTCCACTGCCACCCACAGCAGGCTCCAGCCCTCAGACCTGCTGCACCTCCGCTGCTCAACACCGAGCTCACTGGGCCCAGCTAATTCCCTGGGGCGCTGGTGAACCTCTGCCTGGAGAACGGCCCCTCCATTTTACACGGTCGAGGTGAACAGTCTCCTGTTTTGGGGCTACCTGGCCTGGATCGCCCCTCCCTATTCCACCTCCAGGGCCTCATGTGGTGTGTGTGTTCCTGGGGAAGCGTCACCCTCTCGCTATGAAGGTGGGGGCAGATGGCGTAGGGCGGAGATCATCACAAAATCTCAGCCCCTCGTCCCAGTGACCAGGTCCCAGAGAATGGCCTGTGACCAAACAGGCCAGAATACACCGAGACTGTATTTAAAGGGATTTAAAGGAAAGAAACCCTCTCTTTCTTAGGGAGCTCCCAGAAAAAAAAAAATCACCTTTTTCTCTTCCTCTGGGCCACGAGGAATGGCCTATAGGGATGAGGCCAGGAACTACTTTATAGCTGTTTTACCACTGGCAGGGAAGACTGCCCCAAGACAAAGCAGACACACCAGAGAAGAGCTGAGAGGAGTACCGAGGAATGGAGTCCGAATCTGATAATGTACTGAGCTGCTGGAGCAAACCTTGCCTGAACCTGAACTCGGAGCTTTCAGTTACATGAGCCAATACGTTCTCTTTGTATTTTTACCGTGTTGAGTTTTCTGTCCTTGCCACCAAAACCATCCTAGATCATCCATCCCCAGTGCTGCCAGATAAAAAAGAAGGGCACTAAAGCTGTATACCTATGAGCCACACTGAGCGTCCAACGTGCCTTCTCTATCTCTGAATCCGGCCAGTGGTGAGATGGCTTTCGCATCGCCCTCAGGATAGAATTGAGAAGACTCTAAGAGGTGAAGACTTTTTGTTTCATAGATAATTTTTAGAGCTCAGCTTAAGCTAGGCCAATTTTTACAGGACGACTCTAAAGAAAGGGGCCACGGGGAGACTGTAACACTCTGGGCAGGAAGTCACAGCTTACCTCTGCTCTTGGAAGTTGTGGTTTCTCTGAATTTTCTCTTAGCCATCTCTTTGTGGTACTCCAAAGGCACGGAATCCCACCTCTTCTGAGCTGTGACAGGCACCAAGGGGATAGAGGGCAGCTTCAGGCGCCACTTGGGCCCCAGCGAGTCCATGAGGGCTCTGGTCATTCTGGAAAGGCAGACAGAATTACAGGGAGGTCTCCAGCTGGGTCAAGAAGATACTACCCCTCTCATAAATCCAGAGGGGGTGTAGAGAGCCACCATCCCTCTACAGCCTTCCGACACACAGCAGGAAAGGAACAGATGTCTGCCACCATGACACTCGTGCCCTGCCTGGCCCTCACTTGGCCACACTCTGTTAACTCCAAAGTGGGGACGGCTGCTTGTTAAGGGTACTTAAACCTCACCCCCAAAGGACCACACATGCCCCCAAGAAAGGATCACATGTCTTATATTTTCTCAGTGGATCTATTATAAGGCCAGGCAAACACCTGACCTTTGATTAATGCTCAGAGACCTTTATAAAATACAAATCCTGCGTCATTCTCAAATTCTGAACTCCTCCAGCGGTTCCCACTTCCCTAGGCTGACAGGGCCTGAGATCTGGTGCGGCCCCCTCCCCCACTCCACTTTTACGGGGAGCCGCATTCCCTCTTGATCCGCATGTTCCAGCCTTTGCCCATGCTTTTCCCTCTACCTGGAATGACCTCTTCACTCTCCATCCCCCCCTTCTGGGCCCAGCTAACCTGCTTCAGATGTTGCTCAGGGACCACGTCCATTTGGTTAAGAAATTTCCAGCACCTAGCACATCACCCGATTCCCGCCCAGGCCCAGTAAGCATGTGCTCGATCAGCGAATAAAGCCAACTGTATGCTTTTTCTGCCCCAACCACTGCGCTCCCGTGCGACTAGAAGGGCAGCGTCCCAGGCGGCGATCACTACGAACTCGCGGCGTCTGACGAAGCCCGCACAGCTGCTTTTCGGCCTGGCACAGCTAGTTCAAGCCTCTACCCTCCTCAGCCCGGCTCCCTTACCCTCCTCCTTTTTCAGGGCAAACTTCCAGGTCCCACAGATACAAACCCACCTGCGTGGGCACTGAATCCTTCCTGGGTCTCTCCCGTCGCAGATGGAGAAGTGATGAGGCCAGTCTCTCCGCCTCGGCTCTGGGTCTCACCTCGTCCCGCCTCCGTCAGGAATCACCACCAGCAGCTCTCCTCTAGCTTCAGCCTTTCTCTCTACCGACTCCAAGCGGCCGCACTGAACCGTTTCCTCACTTAGTAAGACCTCCCCCCCCCGCCCCCCGCCCCCGGAGACCCCACTCTGCCATCGCAGCTGGACTCCTCTGCCTCTTCGCGGCCAGGCTTCTAGAACCCACTGCCACCCGGGCTTCTGACCCGCCGCATGCTTCCGTCACAACCACCAGTGACTCTCTTTCTTAACCTCAGAAGTCCACTAACTCATTGGAACACCTGATGGGCGTGAGGTTTTCATCCTTCTGGAAATACTTCTTCCCTAAAGGCTCCGAGGTGCCTCCCCCCCTCCAGCGGCTGTAGAAAATGCTGCCATTTTCTAAGCGCCACCTCTTCCCCCGGCTCCCTTGCTGTGGGGGGTCTTTTTTTCCTCCCACAACCTCAACCCACCTCTATGCTGATGACCTTCGAATCCATAGGTCTGCCTTGTATTTGTCTCTTTTTGCTCCAAAACCCACGTAAATACCAACCACTGTCCTCACGCCTCTTGTCTCATGGTCCCCTCCAACTCAACATGGCAGCCACCAGGATGTTTCTCCGATTTTTCCCTTCTCACCACCCCCAACACTCGGGTTCACTGAACTACTACCTAACTGTCCCCAGAACTGGTCCCACTGTCCTCTTCCCACCATCTCCACCACCTGAGTTCCCGCCCAGCCCTTCCGACTCTGCTCTCCTTCACGTCATCCTGCAACACGGCAACCAGCGAGCTTCCCTCTCAAATCTGCTCACACTGCGCCCCTGCTGAAGACCCTTTCACAAAGCCTCACCGTGCCTGGATTAGGTCCGGGCCCTGTGTGGTCGGGCCTCACCTCACGTCCGAGCTGAGCTCCTCGCCCGCAGCGCCAAGCGACACGGGACTCCTCACAATGCCGGGAACACATCACCCCGGCTCACCCGGCACAGCTGCCCTTCCTGCTGCGCTAGCCCCAGATCTCTTCGTTTCTCAGCCTCAGCTCACCTCCTCTGGGAAGTCCCGACTGGCTTCCTCCTGCCCCCCCCCCCGCCCCGGGGGCAGGTTAGGTGCCCCCTTCTGCCCCCTCAGCCCCCTGGGCCGCCTCCTACCGCAGCACTCACCACACTGTGGTGCACGTGGCTGTGACTGACTGGGGCTCCCCACGAGACCGGGGGTTCCATTAGGGCAGGAAGAGCTATGTGTCGGGCATCAGCCCAGGCCCTAGTGCAAAGTCGGGCACGCAGAAGTGCCAGATTCTGTTGAATGACTGAAAGTAAAAGGAGGCAGAGAGAAAACCAGTCAAGCTAAAAATGATACACTAAACACACGCCACGAAGTCCTCTGAAGGGTTTGCTGTGAGGGTAGCGTTTGGCTTTCTAGCAGCCCACGCAAAGAGGGGAAACATGATCAGTACACAAACGAGGGCAGCCACGAGGCGGAAACAAAGCACCACTCAGAAACTCAGAACAAAATGGCGCCTGACGGGCCTCGTGAAGGGGTCACAGTACCACAGGCCGACGCATCCCTGCAACAGCACCCTACAGCCTTGTGTCCTGGCTGCCTGCACCTGTGGCCCACTCTCCCCGCTCTAGTTAGGTCTGTGAAGCAAGCGGGTATATATTCCCCAGGGCACCTGGCACAATCCCTTACACACAGAGCTCAGTACCTTATTACCCTGGTAAGGAATCGGAGCAGCTGGACCATCGATCTATCAGTCCCCTCACTCTGACCCCCGAGGCCCCTGCTAACCACAACAGCGGACTGTCCTTCTGCACTTTCCCCACGTGTTCAGTAGGTCTCGGGGGACCCCCAGGAGATGACCAAAGCCATGGTCCCGAGTGAGTCCAGAGAGAGCGCCTGCAGAGTCAGGCTCACCGGTTGATGCCTTCCAGGGCCGACGCCACACTGTCATCAATCTGCAGCACCGTCTTGTAGTCCACATAGGCCAGCGGGTACTTCTCCAGGGCCTCGTAGGCCGATGCCCGCCGCAGCAGGGGCTTCATGCTGAAGGGCATCAGGGCCAGTGCTCTAGAGCCAGAGGAAGAAATGTCACCAGCTGCTGAGTCACCACCCCCCCCGCAGCTCCTTCTAGGAAGGGTCATCTGCAGCATTCAGCGTACAGGAGGTCATATCTGGCACAGAGACGCTGCTAAAAATGTCAGACCTTAGCAGAGGGACTTTCTATCTTAGACCAAAGTGGAGAAGGGACGATGGGCAGAAAACCACCAACACTGTGAAATGTGTGCTCGTGCACCAGTTTTCCGAGTCGCAGTGCCCCCAGATCAAGAACAAGTGCCTGAGGCTTTCATTCTTCCATGTGTTTTTACAGAGTCCGACCCGGTGGGAGAAACAGGCTCCGCAGTCAGACGGAGTGGTGTTTGAATTCTACCTCTGCACCAGCCACGGGACCCCAGGCAGATCACCTTACGGCCTCAACTGGCTGCAACCCACTTCTAGCCTGGGCGGGACGGTAAACTTACCCCGCAGAGCGGTCATGAGCCCTCTGGGGAGGAAACCTGGTACGGGCCTGGTACGGAGCCACTGAGCACAGGCCCCACGAGCCCGCTCCCCTCTCCTCCTCCCTCAGCTACCACCAGGGCGCAAACCTAAGGCGATGCTGCAGATGTGTGTCCGCTCAGTGAGGAGGAGAGAAGGCCACCGGTGTCAGACTGGCTTGCAGAAGAAAGAAGTATGACAAACCGTTGAACCCCTGTTACACCAGGTCATCGATGGATAACTTCTTCTCCTTGCTTCTTTTGCGGCGATTCACTCACCTCTGTCCCTCTTTCCTTCCCTCTCACACACATCCACCCAAGAAAACGCTGGGGTGAGCCCGTCACTAGCCTGCAGCTCACTCTCATCCTCAGGCCCCCGATCTCCCAAGGCCCGTAAGGCCCACCTCTAAGCCCCCACCTGACTCCTGCTCTTTTGGCGGACTCCGAAGACACAAGTCAGGGGCCGTGAGCACCAGGTAGAGCCTCCTATCCTCCGTGAGCTGGTGACGCTCAGGGACACGCCCTCGTTATCTGACGTATCTGTTAACTGCTGGGATCGACCCCAAGAAGAGGACAGGCCCGATGAACACAGCTTCCCCTCTGGAGGCCCCCGAGGCCGCGCCCGCCCACTTACGCAGTGCAGTCTTTGATGCAGTCCCTGCAGTTGCCATCCTTCAAGTGGCAGGCTGCGCGGTTAGCGAAGAGGATACTTTCTTCTTCGGGGTTCGAACCACCTGGCCAGGGCGAAGCAGAAAGTACGAGATTAACAGGGTGCGAAATGGACGCCCCGGGACTCCGGGGTGTATCTCGTACCCGGAGCTCTCTGGGCTTCCCGCTCAGGCTTGTTGGGTTGCCAGGTCTGTCGCTGTCACATGGGAGCGAGAGCACCAAGCCTCCCGCCACTCACGGGGAACCAAACACCTTCTCCTTCACTCATTCCAGCACTGAAGCGAGGACCAGGCAAAAGACAAAACATGAACCAGCTGGCTTCTGCTGAAGGAGATCCGTGCCGTAACTGTGTGTTTGTGTGCGTGTGTGCACGCACGTGTGTGAATTTTGTTACAAAAAGCATGTAAACCCGATTAAGAGGGGTTCCTGAAAAAGGAAACGAAAAATGTGATAAGGAGACTGAAGTCTCCTTCACTCTGAGAGAGAGACTGATCCTACCTGGTTAAGTCAGAAAGGATTTTGCCAGGGAAGAGTCCTCTGGGTCTGGCAGGGCTATGCAGGACTTCATCAGGGGAAGGATTCAAGCGACCCGGCGTGGAGGAGAGTTATCAGACACTTCTCTAAAGGCAATCCTTATCCTCAGGAATCGCAGAAGCCGATGTCTTTTACTGTGTAGCCACAATGACTTTCAATTTTATAAAAATAATTTTTCGGGGCACCTGGGTGGCTCAGTTGGTTAAGCGTCTGCCTTCGGCTCAGGTCATGATCCTGGAGTCCCGGGGTCGAGCCCCTCGTCGGGCTCCCGGCTTCTCCCTCTGACCCTCGCCCCTCCCGGGCTCTCCTCTCACTCTCTCAAATAGATAAATAAAATCTTTAAAAAAGTAATTTTTCAACCACTTCATACCCACTAGCATAAGCCATAAACGGAAAGCATACAAACAAAACACCCCCAAAATTATTAAGCGTTGACTCCGTAATTCCACTCCCGGGTATATACCCCCAAAGAAGTAAAACAAACTCTTTTCTGAAAATTACGAAACATTTAGAAAACAGTAAAACAGATGTTTGACATCCATCATTGGACTTGGCATACATTATACTTGCTTCCAACCTCTTTCATTTTCGAGATGGCTAAAGGTCCACTCATCCTCACCCTTTCCCTTTGCTTCCTCCCCAGACCCCCAGATGCCAGCACAGTCTTGAAGCTGGTAGGTAACATCGTCCCGTATGCATGTTTGCCCACTTCTATTACATATGCATTCACAGGGAAGAGAATATACCATTTTATATCTTTCAAAGCTTTCCGAAACTAAGTGGCACCCTACTCCCTATCCTTCCGCAACTTACTCTTTTCTAAGTATGTTACCATACTGAGGCATGATGGCGTTCATTCAGTATCAACAATAACAAACTAATAAGAACTTTCCCCCTTATTTTGCCAGGCCCTGAGTGAGACTGCAAAGTACGGGAAAAAGGTAAAATATATCCTTGCCCTTGAGGAACAAGCACAAGTACTCAAAACTCGTAGTCCGTATCAAGTCGCAAGTAGCAGAGGTGCGGTGGGAAGGGCAGCGGAGGAACTGAGGATCCCGCCCGTGAGCCTGCACCAGTCACTCAATCCCTCTGATCGCGTGTGCTCCCCTACCACATGAACATATCACTTCACAAACTTGCTGGAAGGGTTCATTTTGTTAGCTTGCTCCCTGCCGTCCTTTTGCTCCAGCAAAAGTGATCAGAGACATCAAGGGATTTGCCCAGAAATCATCTGGAAAATCCACAGCAAGATCAGAACCAAATGCTGTTCCCCTACTAAGTCTAGACCCCAGGCCAGCCCTTCTAAGGATCCAGAATAAATCCATACAAAAGCACATGCTCTTCCAGACCAGCTGGGGTAGGATGAAAGAAAAAGGCAGTAATATCAGTATCTCAGCTTCGTCAGTGACTACATCAAGTGAGGCTGAGATGAGGAGGCGGGCCTAAAGAGGAGTGTTCTAGAAAAACAAGAGGGGGCAAAAGAGGGGCTTGAAATTGCAAAAGTTCAAATAAGACAGACTGGAATTTGGAGAGGATTTGGGGAGAAGCCTAGCAAAATGATTCAAAACTTGGGACTTGCAAATCAGACAGACCCGCATTCAAATCCTGCCTCTGATATGTCTTCATTGTACAACCCAGTGCAGACAAATTTAACTCTTCTGGACTCCTCGTCCATAAAGAGTCTTATCTGTAGGTTTGTAAGATTAAAAAGGAGGGGCGCCTGGGTGGTTCAGTCGTTAAGCGTCTGCCTTCAGCTCAGGTCATGATCCCAGGGTCCTGGGATCGAGCCCCGCATCGGGCTCCCTGCTCTGCGGGAAGCCTGCTTCTCCCTCTCCCACTCTCCTTGCTTGTGTTCCCTCTGTCACTGTGTCTCTCTCTGTCAAATAAATAAATAAAATCTTTAAAAAAAAAAAAGATAAAAAGGAATGAGGTCTGTAGTGCCTAGCACACAGAAAAGCACTCAACAAATGCTAGCCAAGAAGAGAAGGCCAAGGGACATAGGTACTACAGAAAATGAGGGCGCATGGGTAAGACACTTTGGAAGAGAGGTTTGGGGCAACAGGCTGGTTGGAATGAGGCTTACCTCTTCTCCAAAGCGTCTTACCCATGAGCTGGAGGCTGGGAGAACTGATAAAGGCCATGCTGCTCCTCCATTTAAAACAAAACTCCCCAGTAGCTTCCCATCAGGGAATAAAATCCAAACTCCCTACCACAGCCTACCGTGTAAAATGCCTACACAATAGGGCTCTGCCTATCTAACTGCCCTCAATACTTACAATTCCCCACTGGCTCACTATGCTCTGGCTCCTACAACACACCACGCTTATTCTGTGGGGGCCTGTGGAATGAACAGTTCCCTCCACCTGGAATGCTCAGCACCCAAAACTCTGTGCCCTTGGCTTCTTCTCATCATTCCGATATCACTTCAAAGGTCACTTCTTCTTCAAAGTTGTCCTTGATCTTCCACTCCAAAGGAGCTCCCCAATCACCTCTCTGACCACATCACTGTATTTGTCTTCTTTGCAGCCCCGATCCTTATCAGACAGGCCTTGTTTACATCTGGATAAAGAAAGTGTGGTATACCCATACAATGGAAAATTATGCAGCCTTAAAAAAGAAGGAAAACATCTGTCACATTGTCCTCAGGGCCATTACGCTAAGTGAAATCAGTCACAAAAGCCAAATACCGTATGACTTCACTCATCTGAACGATCTAAACTAGTCAAAATCATAGCTACACAAAGTAAAAAGGTAGAAACCAAGGGCCGAGGGGAGGGAAGGAAGATTAGTGTTTAGTGGGTACAGAGTTTCACTGCTGGAGATTCAAAAAGTTCTAGCGATCTGTTGCACAACAACGTGAACGTATTTAATACTTCACCTAAAAAATGGTTAAGACGGTGAATTTAATGCCGTGGGTTTTTTTTTTTTTTGCCGAAATAAAAAAAAATGTGATAAAACACCCATTAATATGGAAATATGTTTTTGATATGCCAGGAAGTGAAAAAGAACCAGTAATAAAACCGTATTACAATTAAAAAAAAACAAGGGCAGAGAGGGCCAAGGAAGTTTCTCGTAGGATGCCGAAGCGGGGAATGGGCGGGAGCCCTGGTGAGCCAGCTGGCCGCGGGGAAAGCAAGTCGCAGGCACCCCGGGCAGGAGCGAGGTCTGGGCGGCCGCGGCGGGGGACGCCGGAGGAAGTGTCCGGCCTGGCACGGAAACGGGGGCCAGGGTCGTACCTTGCGCCTGCAGCGTCCGCAGCGCGCGGCTGTAGAGCACCGTGGCCTCGGCGAACTGGCCGTTGCGGAAGCTCTGGTTGCCGGCGGCGCGGAGCTCGTCCACGGAGTCTGCGAGTTTGGGGCCCATCCCGGGGCCGGGACGGCGCACCGGGGGGCGCATCCGTTTACCGCGCGGAGGCCGGCGCAACAGCGTCCGAGCGGGAGCACCGGCCGGCGAGGACGTGAGTCCTACGGCCAACCTGCCCGGGAGGGGGCGGGACGCACGGGGCGGGGCCAGAGCTGCGCGCGCCAGGGGCCTTTTGCGCATGCTCGGGTCGGGACTTGCCAAGCGAAGCGGGCTAGGGTCTCTGGAGGTAGGCTGAGAACCTGGGGATGCTAAAACTCTGGGTGAAACAATGAAAGAGGCCGGGTCCCTGCTCGCAAGGAGCTTACATTCTGGTGGTCACCGACAGGCTGTTAACTCTTGAGCAAACGAAGACGATAATCTCATAATGTGATTAATGCTAGACGGAAAACAGAACAGTGATGTAATGGAAAGTGACCACATGGGGACTATTTTAGATAAGGGGGGTGGGATGGGGTAGGCGTCTCTGAGGGACTAATGGAGCTGAAGAAACCTGAGAAGATTTGGGGAGTGCTATTCCAGACCGAGAGATAGCAAGTGCAAAGGTACTGAGGCTGGAAATTAACTGGTACCTACTGCTCTGTAGATGCTGATTTAATAAATGAATGCACTGATAGGTTCATGAGGATCTTTCGCAGAGGGAAACTTTAGCTTATCTTCAGCGTCCTTTGACTTAACTCTATGTCCCGGTTGATGTGCCAGTGTTTTTAATTGCTTGTTGTCTCCAGCGCACATGAAGCTGTTTCTCTTGCTTCCTGACCTTGGCTTATGTGCCCCCCTCCTGCAGTTCTTTTCCAAACACTTCCTCTTGCCTGATCCTGACTCCACCTATAATCAACTCAACCATCCTTTCTGAGAGCCTTTCTGGACTCCTCACGTCTTTCACCTTGTCCCTCCTCTGCTCCTATTGCTCCCAAGGTTTATCCTTCATTTGGCACTTATCACTCTGTGATTGTCAGTTTATAGTTTTTCTCAAAGACTGTGAGGTCTTTAAAGGCAGGAAATAGGTCTTTATTTTTGTCTCCACAAGACCTAATCGGAGCTGGCACCAAACATGCCGTTCTAAAGGTCTATTGACAAACACCTGGTCTCTGCCCTCAGGGATTTAGTTATAATTATTTGTGTAAACCCAACCCAACCAGACTATAAACTTTCTGAGTTGCTGTTCCATCTGAATCCCCTCAGTCCAGCACGGGCCCCACACAAGGAAAGAATGAACACTTAGTGTGGTGGGGAAACCGACCAGGCACATACACTGCTGGTTATCTACTCAACAGCTTCCATCTTTGCTTCCAGAAGTCTGAATTCTCCTGGTCCAGGGAATGAATCAGGATTTCTTTAAACCAATCACAATAATCTCACTCTCTTTTGCCAGTGATTGGTCAGGGGTGGACATGCCCGTGATTTGCCCCAGTGAGTTACAGGATGTCTGCTGGGTCCTTATGAGAAAGTTTTTCCTCCCAGATAAGAGGTACAGGACTGCGAAATAGCTTCTTTTGCTCTCTTTATGATTTGGGTACTGTTGGGTTAAGGATATCCAACTGGACATGTGGTAGTCATTTTGCAATTGTGAGGCAGTAAGCGCAGGTATGAAAAACCAATGTCCTGGGGTGGGGAGGGGAAAGATGAAATTGACATTGGTGAGCCCCTGAATCAAACCTGGGCGGACTGACTTCTGGGCTACTTATTAATAAAACAACAAATGCCATGGGGCCTTAAGCCACCATTTAGTTGTTTTTTTTTTTTTCTCTTGCTTGGAGGTGGATATATTCTAAATGGTACACCAGACAAGTACACCTGTGTCAAGCTGTATTTTCCAAAAATGACCAAAACAATAATTTCCAGTCTTCAGCTCTCTTTGAAACTGCACAGGACTTTGGGGTCCCCTCAACAGTATAAGGGACATTATCTACCTCCCAAGACTATGCCATTAAAAGGCACCGCAGCTTCCGCCTGGCTCCCTTTCACAAATATCCTTCAGAACCTAGCCTTTACCCATATTTATTTTAACCAAAACAGAGAAGTCCCCTCTACCCCCAGCACCAAGTGAGCTCCCAGCCAACAGCCAGCACCAACTTGTCAGCCATGTGAGTGAGGCATTTTGGGTAAGAATTCATCCAAATGGTGACTGACCCTGACTGACACCATGGAAAAGAGATGAGCCTTCCCTGTGGAACCATGCTCAAACTGTAGATTTATGAGCGAGAGAAAAAAATGTTGTTTTATGCCACTAAGTTTTGGGAATGGTTTCTTAACACAGCAACTGATAAATGGTAAGCCCTTCCCACAATGCTTCCCATAAATGCAGAGCTGATAAAAGCAGAACTGAAAGAATTTAGGGGAGGGATATACTGGGGAGTCCGGGCAGAGAGGAAGTCTTCTAGGAGGAGGTGATTTTTTAAAAATAACTTTATTGAAAAATAATTCGCTAGCATAAAATTCACCCATTTAAAGTTGTGTACAGTTCAGTGGTTTTTATTATAGTCAGTGTTGTACAATCACCACAATCAATGTTACAGTATTGTCATTACCCCAAAATGAAACCCCACATCTTTTAGTCATCAGGCCCAATTCACCTACCCCATCTCCCCCATCCCCAAGCCCAAGCCCAAAGCAACCACTAATCTACCTTCTGATGGATTTGCCTATTTTGGACTTTTCAGGTACATGGAATCATATGATACACGATTCTTTGTGATTGGCTTCTTTGACATAGCACAGTGTTTTCCATGGTCATCCATGGTGTAGCCATGTATCAGAACTTCATTCCTTTTTATTGCTGAATAATTTTCCATTGTATACATTTTGGGTGTCCATTTTATTTATACATTTATCAGCTGATGGAAATTTGGGTTCTCTTTTTGGGGCAGGAAATAACTTTTTGATATTTATTAAGATTTCATCTCTCTGAGTTAACCATCTCATTAAAGCCATATTTAATTTGTATTCAGCTTTAATGGGGAAGGAATAGATATTATAGCTGTAGTCTCCTGAATGAGATAATATGCACAGACATTATTATTGGACAGTAATCTTTTTGTTGTTTAAACACTTCTTTTCAGGGTTAATTGGTAGTTTCTTTAAATAATATCTCTGCCTTCCTTGGTTGAGAGACGCTGGTGAGTAAAGATGTGTTAGAATCAGGACACTCTGGGGCGCCTGGGTGGCTCAGTCGGTTAAGCGGCTGCCTTCAGCTCAGGTCATGATCCCAGGGTCCTGGGATCAAGTCCCGCATCGGGCTCCTTGCTCAGCAGGGAGCCTGCTTCTCCCTCTGCCTGCAGCTCCCCCTGCTCGTGCTCTTGCTCACTCTCTCTCGCCCACGCTCTCTCTAGCAAATAAATAAATAAAATCTAAGGAAAAAAAAAAGAGTCAGGACAACCTTACATTTCATTTAACTGAGCCAGGCACAGCCAATACTTTTATATGCTGATTGCAAATAATGAACCAATTAGTCTTGGGGAAAGAAGTATAGACAGCATCATAATTTGTCAATTTACAGTTCTGGATGCTTTTCAGTTCAGGTGTATCAATCATGATCTAATCTGAAAACACTGAGTAAGATGTCTTATGGAAGGGATTTGAAATAAGAAGTTAGTTCAGGGAATTGGGTGTCAGAGGTGAAAGAGGAGTCAAGAAGCCAACAGAGAACGGTGAGGGAGCCCAAAGGCCAGCAGCAGCAGGAAATGACTACTAGGCCCAGGACTTGAATATAAAAAGGAAATGGTGATGATATGGCTTGGAGTGTTGGGGTTTGGAGCCAACGGCCAAGAAAGAATTCTTGAGACATCTTTGGGGCAAAAAGGTAGGTTTTATTAAAGCACGGAGGCAGGACCCAGGGGTAGAAAGAGCTGCACTGGGGTTATGAGGAGTGACTGATTAAAGATTTTCTATCCTATGGAGAGGAGGGTGATGTTAGGGCTCCAGGAAATTGAGTCTATAGGTTTCTGGAAATTTTTGTTGTTGTTGTTCTTTAAATTTTTATTGTTATGTTAATCACCATACATTACATCATTAGTTTTTTTGATGTAGTGTTCCATGATTCATTGTTTGTGCATAACACCCAGTGCTCCACGCAGAACATGCCCTCCTTAATACCCATCACCAGGCTAACCCATCCCCCCTCCCTCCTCCCCCCTAGAACCCTCAGTTTGTTTTTCAGAGTCCATCGTCTCTCATGGTTCATCTCCCCCTCCGATCGGAAATTGCTTTTTTCCTTATAAATCATTAAGACAGTTGCAAACTGAAGGAGACTTGTGTCCTGCATCCGGCATGACTGCGATCGCCATCGGTTAACCTTTTTTTTTTTTTAAGATTTTATTTATTTATTTGACAGAGGGAGACACAGTGAGAGAGGGAACTCAAGCAGAGGGAGTGGGAGAGGGTGAAGCAGGCCTCCCGCGGAGCAGGGAGCCTGATGCGGGGCTCGATCCCAGGACCCTGGGATCATGACCTAAGCCGAAGGCAGACGCTTAACGACTGAGCCAGCCAGGCGCCCCCAGTTAACCATTTTTTTTTTCCTTTCCTTTGTCCTAGGGCAGCCAGAAGTGCCTGAGGAATGTCACACATATCCCACAAGGTGGGGTGGAGGAGTTGTGGAGTGTTAGCTTGTGCTTTGCCCTCAGTTTGCCTCTGCTCCTTCATCAGTGATATTTACAGAGTTCAGAAGCTGCAGTAGAGTAGAAGCTGGAGCCAAGTAAGGATGCTCTAGGAGGAGCTGAAGACAAAGTTACTGTTGGATACTTGATCAGAAGCAAAGAAGAGAGAGAAAGACTGGCTTCTCTCTTAGTTCTGCCTTCCATCTCCTGCCAGTGCTGGCTGAAACTGGCCAAAGGTCAGCTGACATGGGAACCTGGGAAGTGAGCTTGCAGGGTTGGTCTCTTCCCCTAAGACTTCTTAGGTATGACATCAAAAGTATGACTCAGAAAAAAAGTGGATAAACTATACTTAAAAATTAAAGTTTCTGTTCTTTAAATGAGACTGTTAAGAGAATGAAAATACAAGCCCCAGAAAAATGCTTGTAAATCACATATCTGATAAAGGACATGCATCCAGAATATTAAAAAACACTAAAAACTCAGTAACAAGGAAACAGTGCAATTTTACGAAGGACAAAAGACTTGAACAGATAGTTCAGAAAATATACAGATGACAAGCACTTGAAAAGATGCTCAACCTCATTAGCCAGTAGAAAAAATACAAATGAGAAACACAGTGAGAGGGGAGCCTGGTGGCTCAGTAGGTTAAGTGTCTGCCTTCAGCTCAGGTCCTGATCTCAGGGTCCTGGGATCAAGCCTCATATCAGGCTCCATGCTCAGCAGGGAGTCTGCTTCTCCCTCTCCCTCTGCCTCTCCCTCCTTGCTTCTGCCCCCCCAAATAAATAAATAAATAAATAAATAAATAAATAAATAAAATCTTTTAAAAAAGAAAGGCAACGCAGTGAGGTACCACTACACACTATTAGATCGGCTAAAATTGCAAAGACCAATCATACCAGTGTAGATGACATAGCTATTGAAATTCCCATACACTGTTGGTGGAAATGTAAAATAGTATAATCACCCTGAAAAACAGTTTCTTAATACATTAACCAAGTATCTTCTATATGACCCAGCTATTTCTCACCTGCGTGTTTACAAGAGAAATGAAATGTAGGTATGCCTATATGTATGTCCATATAAACGTGTACATAAATGATTGTAAGTTTTATTTGTAATAACCAAAAACTGGAAAATGATTACTTAGAAACCATTGGGCTTTGGGGTGGTTTTTTACATAGTGATAGTTAACTGGTACACTGAACTAACTCTTTGCAATTTTTTGCATCTTTACATTGCCCTTATTCAATGTGACTCCGGCCACAGTTCCTACCTCATCTCCTACCGTTCCTTATTCATTCTGCTCCAAACATGCCAACTTCTAGCTGCTCTTCCAACACAAGCCTTTGCCCTTGTTGTTCCGTCTGCCTTAAATGCTCTTTAAAAATATTAGTGTGACTTAGTCTCAATTCAGTCACATGTTTTTTTTGGTCTATATGGTTTTTCTTGCTTTGTTTATTGCCTTTCCCACCTGAATGTAAGATCCACGAGGGTAGAAACTTTATTTTGCTCACTGCTTTGCACCTAGTACTGTGCTTGGCCCAGAGCATATACTAGATATGTATTTGTTGAATGAATGAATGACTGACTGACTGAATGAATGAATGACTGTTCTGACCTCAGAGTTTTCCTGATCCTACTAGCCTCGGTTAGGTTCTCATATTAGTTTTATATAATTTATCACTACATTAATTACCTCTGTAGCAACTATGTCTTCTACACTGTAAATTACAAAAAAAAAGCTAGAACTCATCTATGTCCTGAGTACTAGTACATAGCCAGAGCCTAGTACAGTGCCAGGCATGTGTAGCTCAGTAGGCACAGAATGAAATATGAGTAACCCTGCTCATTGGTTCTCTCTTTTTTAAAGATTTTATTTATTTTTGAGTGAGAGAGAAAGAAAGTGTGTGCACACGCGGCGAGAGGGGCAGAGAGAAAGGGAGAAAGAATCTCAAGCGGACTCCCCACTGGGCACGGAGCCAGACGCAGAATCTCACAACCCTGAGATCATGACCTGAACCAAAATCACAAGTCAGATGCTCAACCAACTGAGCCACCTAGGCGCCCCATTGGTTCTTTCTCTTAAGCTATTTTCATATTATGGTTCGCTAAGGTTTGTTATTTACTTATTTATTTTTAAAGATTTTTATTTATTTATTTGAGAGACAGAACAAGAATGAGTTGGGGGAAGAGGAAGAGGGAGAAGCAGGCTCCCCGTTGAGCAGGGAGCCCAATGTGGGACTTGATCCCAGGACCCTGGGATCATGACCTGAGCCGAAGGCAGTCGCTTAACCAACTGAGCCACCCAGGTGCCCCTTAGTTATATTAAATATAATTTAAAATTCAGTTTGTCAGTCATACTAGTCACATTTAAAGTGCTCAGCAGCCACATGTGTCCGTCTACTGGCAATGGTTTTGGACAGCACATATATAGAACATTTCCACCATCACAGAAATTTCTTTGGGGCAGTGCTGGACTGGACATTCTACTGAAAGACGGGGCAATCCTAATGTCAGTCTATCTTTTGGAAAAATCCCAGGAAGGGGATAAAGGAGGGATGTTTGACATTGTGTACTGGTAAATTCACATTTATTTTTAAAAATGTTTTCCAAGTACCTCATTTATAGGGGTGTGTGTGTGTGTGTGTGGGCAGCGGGGCCTGAACATAAGGTCAAACGAGGAGTGTGCTTTAGGAGAAGTACAGGAAAAGTACCAGGGGATTTCAGAGGATAGAGGGCTGACTTTTTGCAATAGGGACCTGTGATGGCTTCCTAAACTTTGTATAGGAACTTTTGATCTTTACTACCTCAGGGCTCCTACTGCCATTTGTACAGATTTGTAGTAGGGCAAAGAGGCAAATAAAACATGCATTCTGTGGAGTCCAGCCCATCTTGGGTTAAAAACTTTTCTCTCACTAGCTGTGTCTAAGTGAGTCTCAGCTTCCTCACCTGTAAAATGGGGATAATAACTTCTACTTCATAGGGTTGTTTGACGATTAAGAGACAGCCTAGGATTGTGCCTGGCCCATAGATTCTCTGTAAATGTGTTCCTCCTGTGTAAGGGGAACGGATCGGTTACCCCTATTTTAGCACATGGGGTGCTATACCTGGGTGGTCCTGAAAGGTGGTTGCTCAGGTGTTAATTTCATGGGTGGCATACCTTTGGGAAAAGCAGGACAAATAATACATAAAATTGGGGATAACGTTACAGGTTTCCTAAGAGGATTAAACGAGATAATATATACGTAAGTAAGCACATGGCAAGAGCTTAATCACGGTTAGCTAGCTATCTTTCTGTCCGCAAACTAACTCAAAGGTGAGAGGCCCTTAAGAAAAGAGGGTGAGCAATTTGCAGCCTGATGCTCTGTGACATCCAAGGGTGGTCCGGCCTCCGTCTGGAACAAGAATCCAACCGGCTAGGAGCGGTAGGAACCCACAAATACCTCGGAGCAGCGCTTCCCCGAAATCGCGTAGAACTTGGCCGGTTGAGAACCGACGGCGCTTCGCAAGCACCCTCAGTATCGCGGTCCGAGGAACGAGGGTCGGGCCGAAGCGGAGACGAGCTCCCGGCCCGAGTCCCAGTGTCCCGGACGAACCGCCCCACACGGGCACCGCGTCGCCGACGCACTCGAGCTCTACGGAGGACGCTCCGGGATCCGCGGCCCCGCCCCGCGCGCCACGTGACTCAGTCTCCGCACCACGTGGTCCGGGCCGGTCCTCGCCGCTCCGCCCCGCTCGCGCGCTGCGCGCCGCTTCCGGTGGGGGCGGAAAGCGGAAGTGTGGGAGGGTCTGCGGGGCGGGCTCGGGGAGGTCCCGGGGGAGGATGGAGCAGTGAGCGGGTCTGGGCGGCTGCCGGCAGCGCCATGGAGACGGTGCAGCTGAGGAACCCGCCGCGCCGGTGAGGGGCCGCTGGCTGAGGGGCAGGGGGTGGGGAGAGGGAAAGGCGGGAACTGGTGGAGGAGAGGCACCGGGTGCGCCCCCGGAGGGATGGACCTGCGGGGCGAGGCGATCCTGGCACCTGCTGAGTGGGGGAATCTCCGCCGGGGGGGGGGGTCCGGCGGAGGGGAGCACGCGCCCAGCGGGATAAACGTGGGGCTGGTTGGGGAGAGCACTTGCTGCGGGGGGACATCCTGGTGGACGGGGGCACTGCTGAAGGGAGCAGCTGCTGAGGGACGTGGGGACAAGTTAGGGAGAGCACCTGCTGAGGGCGGGGGCGCCTGGGGGGATGCCATGCTAGGAACGATTCATTGAGGTAGGGGGCATGCTGAAGCAGGATGAGAACCTAGAGGGGTCTAAGATATGGGTCAGGAACAAGCAGAGGAAGGCTGGGTGGACTTCCTAAGGGAGGGGGTCCCACTTGAGGGGTGCAGTGGGGAGGATCTGTTGAGGGGAAAAGCTCTGTGCCTAAGGCTGGAGGCGTGCCGAGAAAGGTTGAAGGTCCAGCAAGGGAGGGCTTCATGCAGGATAAGCATTTAGGAAGATTTTCCGGGTAGTGTCCCCACTCTAGGATGAGGATGACATCTTTCATTCCTGATGCCCCCCTGCCTGCCTAGTTTTCCATACATCCTCTTCAGCTTTTCAAACCTGACATTGGGAGGTGGATAAGGAAATAAGAGGATATTTTCAAGAAGGGCAAATTGATGGCCCAGAAGAGTTGAGACACAGTTCTATGTGTTTCCTTCTTTGCTCTAGGGTCTGGGTCACGACCTGACCAGACTGGGCCCTTTTCAGGGCTCTATTGTTTTGCATCAGCTCCAGATCCTGCTGCTGCCTGGAATTGTTTTAAGTCAAGATCCGGGAGGTGGCTGATCCTAGAAAGTCTGAACTCCTGCGTTGGTTTTAGTTATATCATTGATTTGCTCTGTGGACACCAGGGTCTTGTGTCACTCTGCCACATCTGGAGAAAAATAGCAGAGATCAAGGGAGTCATGCTTCTTTGAGGTGCAGTGTAGTTAGCTTCTATTTCACAGAGACCTCTGACTTCCTGCGGCAGAATGAGCACTAAAGTAGGAAGTGTTCAGTGTGTGGGAGTGTGGGGCAAAGGAGAGGTGAAGGGAAGGGATTGGCAGCCTGGGCTGCACACTTGGGGTTTGTTTGAAGTACACAAACATTGCAGAAGGCGAATAGCTGGTTGGGATGGACTCATAATTCACCCTACTGTAGTGTGCTGAGACGGAAATAATAATGATTCTTACACATACGGCACCTACTGGATGCCAGGGACCGTTTTCAAAAAGTGCTTTCCCTGTCTCCTGGTGAACCACATGTAATTGACCTATAAAAATGGTAATTTCGTGTGGTTCAGCTTATTACGACTCTTTCGAGCCTCACAACAATCCTATGAGGTGGTTACTTCTGTATCTCTATTTTACAGGTGATAAAACTGAGGCACAAAGAGTTTTAAGTGATTGCAGGAGGTTCCACTGTTAGTAAGTGGCAGAGCTGGGATTTTAAACCAGGTGGTCTGGTCCAAAGTCCATGCTCTTAACTGCTTCCTCTGATGCCGCTCTGGAAGTACCCCTGTTTCACAGGGCCTGTGTATGTTAGCAAGTATTTGCTACAGCACCATAGTGATCCAGTTATAAATGTACACTGGTTATATTTCTTTCTGAAATATATTCATTGTTTCTCCGAGGTCTTGGTTTAATTGAAAAGAGGATTAGGAATTGAGTTTTGTTTCTACCTTGCCTTGTGTTACATAATCTTGGGCAAAAGCGTAAACCTTTTTACTTTTTGGTCCAGCTCATTCCTGCACCTTTTGGATTTTAAGAAATTTATTAAATGTGCAAGAGAAGAGCATTGCAGGGCTGAATTCTTGAATGACTGGTACTTTCCTGCTCATCATAACTAGTCAAGTACTTAATCTGCATTAGATTAACTTTATTACTTGCATTTATTAGAATTACCATATCAGTTTCACAGACTGGGTGATTTAAACAACAGAAATGTATTTTCTCCCAGTTTTCTGGAGGCTAGAAGTCTAAGATCAGGGTGTCAGCAGGGTTGTTTCTTTGAGGCCTCTCTCCTTGGCTTGTGTAGATGGCTCTCTCCTTCCTATGTCTTCACATGGTTTTCCCTCTGTACCTCTCTGTGTCCTTATCTCCTATAAGGACACCAGTTATATTGAATTAGGGCCCACCTCTGTGACCTTATTTTACCTTAATTACCTCTTTAAAGGCCCTGTCTCCAAATAAAGTCACACATTCTGAGGTCCTGGGGCTTAGTACTTCAATGTAGGAATTTGGGGAGGGGCAACATATGAATTTTACTATCATTAAAAAGTTATCAATTTATCTTACACATTTGTTGTAACCATATCAAATTCTGAATGGAAAGAGGGATAGGTGTACATAAATAAAATGAACCTTACAAGAGTTCTAAGATAGGAGAAAGAGGCTTGAGAATTAGCCAAATCTGTGAGTAACTATTTCATAAATACCCTTGTTTGTGTTTGGAGAGATACAGGTGTCTTTTCAGAGATTCAGTTGGCATGTGTTTCCAGCAAGGGATAGTAATCTCAATGCAGGAAATGCTCTTTGCATTCATGAGCTTGACATTTGTGTGTGACTGAGTGATTAGAGATTCAAGTTGATGGGTTACGTAGGAGATTATGATTTTTTAAAGTGAGCTGGCATTAGATAATAATAGTGTGGTGGAGGATGTAGAGGGCATTTCTGGGATGGTTGGCTGTCCACGTGGCCGTCTGACTTAGGAGAGGAGCATCTGCCGGTGTTTGGTCCACGGAGTCTGTGTTGGCCAGGCCTGTTCTTTTATGAGCAAGCAATGAAACTACCTAGGACCCGGGGAAGTCCGAGCTGAGAGCTGAATCATCAGTCGGGCTGTTTTGTGCTTCTTCCATGAAGACTTACGGTATAAAGTATCATTGAGAGTCACTTATCAAAAGATTTTCCAAGGAATCTTATTTGTTGATAATCTGGTAATCCTTTTTAGGGTGGCATTCTGTTCTGGAAACTCACAAGGATTGCTGATAAAAGTTTAGGATTCCCATCGTTACATTCATTAATCCATATAGGAAATATTTATTGACCACCTCTGGGTTATCAGGCAGCAAAGAGATAAAGATCTATTAAGCCTGGATCAAAAGCAAACAAAAAACTGGGGCACCTGGGTGGCTTAGGTCATGATTGGGATCCAGCCCCGGGGAGTCAACTTCTCCTTCCCCCTGCTCTTGTGCTCTTGCTTGCTCTCTCTCTCTCTCTCAAATAAATAAATAAAAAATCTTAACTAACACACACACACACACACACACACACACACACACACACACAAAACCCAAGTAGATTGTTTGAAAGAAGTCTCTGAGCAGGTATATACAGTTTGTTGGAGGATTATCAGGGGCTTGCAGCTGTTTCTCGCATGCCAGGCACAGTTTCCTTTGCTATGTTGTGGTCTCAGAGTAGTTGAAATAGTGAGTTTTGCTTTTTGTAAACCACAAAGTCAGTACTTCAGAGGAAGACATTTGATCTTCCTTTATATAAGCTGTTTAATTATACTTGAGAAATGAGGTATCGTCCATTGTTTATACAGTTATGAATTCAGCGCTTCAACAAAAAACCCTCCTGGTTCATGCAATGTTCTTTCTAACATCTGAGTTCATAGACATTTCACTTCTGAAGTTTAAGAGGAGTTTCACTTCAGCCCTTTTTGTTTTGAAGCTAGTTTTTATGTCGTCACTGGAATTTAATGTTTAAGACCTTTTGATTTTCCAAAGGTCACTACGGTCATTTGTTAATTTTCAAGTTGTGGCAGTTATTGACTTGGAGCATTTCTCCATTTCTTTAGTGTGTAGTCTTTGACATTTACAGAATTATGTGAGATTGTCCTTTAGAGATCAGTGTTTATGGGTGGATACACTCAATGTGTTCAGAGTTTTCTGTCTTCTGGTTTTGCTAGTTCCTCCAGGAAGGTATGTGTGCGTGTGTATATATGTATGTAATTCAAGGCCTCTCTTGTAAAAATTGGTATTATCCAGCTAGTTTAAACCTTTTCTCTACAAAAAAGTCTCCAGTTTTACTACTTCCATAATTTCACCATTTCCTGAGCTCTCTTTTTTTTGTTGTCCTTTGTAGTTTCAGGAAACCATCGTGTAGAAGATACACACAGACGCGTGCGTGCGCGTACACACACACACACACACACACACACACAAATGTTCCTTGGCAAGCTCCTTCCTTAAGCCCATTGATAATTTTCAGCCATCTTAGTTTAAAAAAAATATTGTTAATTTATAACCTCCCAGGTTTGTTATTAACTGTGTCTAGCATAGTCAGAAAAATCTGAATTATCAGGGAATTATAACCTGCCATGTATCTTTGACTTCGGGGGCTTCTTGGATGTACACAGCCACTCATGGGAGAGTCTGAGTCTGTTTGAAGTTCCTAGCTGCATAGTTATTTTTCACTTTTGATCATGTATAAGTGTATACCTTCCACTTTATGTTTCTGTGATACCTATAGAATTCCTGTGTTTTAGCTGAATTACCAAAATCTTGCTAAGGGAGAGCAAGAGTCTCTATGTCTTCCTTGGCCTCCAGTCTGAGACCATGTTTCAATTCATAGTTAACCTTACATTAAACATCTCTTCTGAAGAGATAGTTATGCCATCTTAATTCATGGAATCTCAAGATATAAATGGATTTTTAAGGTTCTATCAAAGCTGGAATCCACTCTGTAGCATTTCAGCCAAATGATGATTCATTTTCTGTTTAAGTTCTCCAGTGATGGGGAGCTAGGGACTTCTTAAGGCAGTCTAAACCATTTTAGAACAACTTTTGTTGTTAGGAAATTTCTTTCTTTTTTAAATTTTATTTATTTCAGAGAGAGAGAGAGTGTAGGCGAGAGCACAAGCAGGGGGAGGGACAGAGGGAGAGGGAGAAGCAGACTCCCCACTGAGCAGGGAGCCCGATGTGGGGCTTGATCCCAGAACCCTGAGATCATGACCTGAGCCGAAGGCAGACACTTAACTGACTGAGCCTCCCAGGCACCTTGGAAAATTTCTTACACCTGTTGAACTGAAGTCTGACTCTTGGTAGTTCTCTACCCTCTGGTCCTGATTATGCTCACCAGAGGGCTGCAGGACACATGTAATACTGCCATAGACAGCCCTTAAGTCTCTCAGCTGGGGCACCTGGCTGGCTCAGTCGGAAGTGTGTGTGACTCTTGATCTTGAGGTCATGAGTTCAAGCCCCACAATGGGTGTAGAGATTACTTAAATAAGTAAAAAACTTAAAAAAAAAAGTCCTTTATGAACCATGAGAGACTATGACTCTGGGAAACAACCTGAGGGTTTCAGACGGGAGAGGGAAGGGAGGATGGGGTAGCGCAGTGATGGGTATTAAGGAGGGCACATGTTGTAATGAGCACTGGGTGTTATACGCAAATAATGAATCATGGAACACTACATCAAAAACTAATGATGTACTATATGGTGACTAACATAATAATAGAAAAAAATGTCTCTTAGCTTGCCTTTGTTGTTGTTTACCGGTAAAGACTTTATAGAGCAATTCCTAAGATCCTAATTGTAATATAAATAATGTATTTTGTGGTGTAGTTGCTAGCAAGTAAAATGTATTTTATGTTTTTATTTCTTCATTCACAGGCAGCTGAAAAAGTTGGATGAAGATAGTTTAACTAAACAACCAGAAGAAGTGTTTGATGTCTTAGAGAAACTTGGAGAAGGGTAAGTGTACAGAAAATACAGGTAGACCAGTAGGTCCCAGTCTTTTTCTTCCCCCAACACCAGCAGGAGCTGAACCTTTTTCATGTCAATAATTCACAAACCTAAGGAGAAGGAAGAGGAACATTGCATATGGCACTGCTCTGAGTGGGGTGGGCGGGAAATTTACAGCTTGAGATGCCCTTTCCCTCTTTCCTCCAGTCATCGCTGGAGACAGATTTAATGATGCCTGGCCTCTTCAACACCAAAGGCATCTATTGTTTTCTCTCTTGTAGAATCTATAGTTTACAGGATTTTATGTATGGAACAGCACTAACTAGTCTGTACTTAATTTAACAATTTTTATTAGTCATACATTTTTATTTGCTGTTCATAGTTTCTAATCAATATGTAATAACTGTTGTTTCCATAAAATGGAATTCAGCATTTTAGTTAGTATAGCATTGTGAAATATAGTAAATAAATCAAGGACTGTCACTACCTTTACACCTTCCAAGAGATTGAAAATCCCAGGTCGGGAACCAGTGTACTTCTTGAAACCCAGATTTGTGAGTGTGTATAAAATACTGCTGAAATGGTATTTCATAATAGTGGTTTTTTGTGTATCATTCAGTGATAGTTTCTGCATTAATAAACAGGTGTGTGTGTGTGTGTTTAGTCTCTCGAGAGTACTTCTAGTTCAAGAGAAGACCTGAAATATTAACTTTTAAAAATTTCTGTTGTTTAAGTGCCGTGTGCGCCTTGAAATCAAGTCTTATATGTCATTAGATTATTTTGGGGTTTAGTGTTACTTATGTCTAATATAGGTCAGGAATAATCTTAAACCCGATCCTAGATTACATGGCATAGGTTTTCATGGATTGCCTCCTTGTAAAAAACATTAGTCATCTTTTTGTAAGTTGGAACAATACTCTTTGGAATCAAGCAAGACATCAAGCTGAGAAGGGAATAAAAGAGGATGCCAGCTGTGCTGTTAGAAGACAAGTACAAGATGATTCTGAAGACTGCAAGTTGACTTGGCATTCTTAAAGGTACGGAAAACGACAGTCCCTCCACATCTCTTTCCTGTCCTTTTCAGCTTCAGCTTGGTCTCCTGGCTATTTTCCTCAAGGCAGTGAGTCTAATGCCCTTAATCTAACAGTGCTCACAGGTCATCTTTGGAATAAGATAAAGCATGTTAGGCATAATTGAATATGTAACTAACTTGTTTCTTTCATTTTTAATAAAAGTGTGTTATGATAGTACGGGCATAGACTCTGATGTTAGACCTGCGTTAAAATCCTTGCTCTACTGTTTATTAGTCACAATAAACGAGTGAACTTGAGCAAATTACTTAATATTTTGAAGTTTCAGAAACCTCTGTATAGTGCAGATATTCATACCACCCTCATTTGGGTTATGTCAAGTATTACCCAAGATAATGGGGGTAAAGTACTGAGTACAGTGCCTGTCACATAGTGAGTGCTCAATAAGTGGCAACTATGATTCTTTTATCTTTAAGCCTACCAATTGAAGCATTTTTCAGACCTTGTCATGTCAAATTAAAGTTAAATCTTAAACCTCCAGTCTATTTAGGCATTCCTGAAGGGAGTGCTGTTTGGGTTGATTGGGTTTGGGGAACACCAAAAGAAAACTACAGACAAAATATATCAGGAATATATTCTGATAATATAGGAAGGGGAAACTAAGCTAATTATGATTGCTTTTAATTGTCTTTTAGATCTATGCATGTCTTCATCAAGGAACTTGGAAATTTCCTTACAAAGATAAAACCAGGAAAATCAAAATAAAGCTTAAGATCTTTCTCCTTGTTTTATCACCATCGTGCTCTTTTAAGTGATACCACCGATGCTTGGATTTCTGAACGAACCTGAACAAGCTTCATTTAACTAACAGAATCCCGAAGGAAGACCTTAACTCCACTTAGCTGTCTAAACACAAACTGCCATGCCATCCTTAAATTGTTCTGGAAAATGAGTAGATTGTGAACACTCACTGACTTGTGTCTTATGAAATGAGCTCTGGCTGATGGACTGTGTTGGATTCTCTGGAGGCCGCAGTTGTTCTGTGTATGGAGGAAATCCTGTGGATCTGTGGCAGGATAGAGCCAGCGCTCCAGACCAGGATGAGTGGACCATGCTTGGAAAGTGTTTTGCATGAGAGCCTAGTGCCTTTTTCCTTCTATTATACTTAAAGTTTTACACTTTGACTCACTAAAATTTTTTGTCCTAGGATAATTAAAAAGCATCTTGCCCCTGGTTTCATAGCTAGTGAGTGGTATTGTTAAGGCTTGTATCTAGTTAATTTGGCTCCAGATACTGTATTATTTCTGTTTTTCCAAATTGATCCTTGCCTTGTGTGGCTTGTGTGAAACCCCTAGGTCCCCACCATTTTTATTCTCTGCCAGTCAGAATTCATCAAGTCACTGTAGTTTTTGTTGTAGGGAATCCGGTCTTATGGGATTTGCCTAAAAGTGAGCACAGTTGCTGAAGGCTTCTAAATTCTCTTCAGATTACTGTAAGTGCAGTATGTAGAATCATGAATCTTAATTGTTCATACAAGCTATTGGAGCATTCCTTGCTCTCAAGAAGCGTAGAGAGGCATGGATGGTGTTCTGGTTAAGATTGCTGAGTGAGTATATGCAGAGACCTCTCTTTCCATTTCAGATAGATAAAACTAATGAATGAAAATTAAATTTTTATTTTTATTATTTTTTAAAGATTTTATTTATTTATCTGACAGAGTGCACAAGCAGGGGGAGTGGCAGGCAGAGAGAGAGAGGGAGAGGGAGAAGCAGTCTCCTTACTGAGCAGCGAGCCGGACATGGGACTCGATTCCAGATCCCAGGACCCTGGGATCATGATCTGAGCTGAAGGCAGACACTTAAGTGACTGAGCCACCCAGGCGCCCCGGAAATTAAATTTTTAAATAAAAGGATACATGGCCAGCTATGGACCAGGGATGGAAAAGATACATAATAGTAAGAGGAGAGTAAGGCTTGCCCTGTCCTTGTCAGGAGATGGCAGGTAAGCTTCCTACATGAAGTTGTGGGATGGATGAGGCTCCCCATCTATGAACTAAAGCTGAAATAAATTTGATCACCACGAGAAAGTATCATTTGCCCGTGGCCTGGGGAAAACATGGAGGTACTGGTTTGACAATAGGAACTGGGCCTGGCCTGCATTCAGGTATGGGATCTAGAGAGGCAGAAACCCTCAACTTCTAACACGAGACCAAGTTTAAGTTGTTGTACAGTCTAGATGATGGGCCGAGAGAACCATGAAACCATCATGACATCATGAAATGCTCGTGGCAGTTAGCATTGTGTAGAGGAAAATCATTCAAGATAAAGGAAACCCATATAAGGAATCTACTGCCTTGGGATAATGAGCAGAACAAATGGGAGAATCCACATCCAAGGAAATAGAAATAATGGAGCAATCTCAAAAGGGATTTAACATGTTTGTTTACGATTTTCAAAAAGATGAGGGACTAACATCCTTAAAAGAAGAACACCAGGTTATGAACATGAACAGATGGGTTCCGGGAAGAATTAAAGTTGGGAATCTTGACAATCATTGAAGTTTTGGAGGCCCAGTAAGTTGGAAAAACAGTGAACTATACAAGCTGAAAGAATTTGTGAATTGAAAGATAAAAATAAGACTGATCACAAAGTGCAGGACAGAAAAGTGCAGTGTTAGAGGTCTGGAGGACAGCATGGATTGAGGAGATACAGTATGGGTCCAGTAGGAATTCTAGAAAGAGGTAGTAGAAGAGATAGGAAAAAGACAATGCTGAGAATTTCCAGACTTGAAGAAAAACATGCCTTCAGATGGAAGAAGCTTACGAAATGCCAAGTGAATCAACTCCTAGTTACATTATAATAAAATTGTAGAATGTTAAGGATAAAGAGGAAATCCTGAATGCTACCGAGAGAGAGAGTACGATAGCCGACTTCTCAGCAACGATAGAAGCTGGAAAACTGCAGAAAAGGTGCTATTGTCCAAGAACTCTGTATCCAGCACAACCAATTCCAAAGAGAATGTGAAATACAGACATCTTCACACATATGGGACCTAGTGTATCAAGAATAACTTTGGAAAGTAACAGAATACCCAACTAGCAATGGCTAACCAATAAGGGCATTTATTTTTTTTTAATTTTGAATTTTTTAAAGATTTTACTTATTTGACAGAGAGAGACACAGAGAGAGAGGGAACACAAGCAGGGGGAGTGGGAGAGGGAGAAGCTGGCTTCCTGCTGAGCAGGGAGCCCAACGCAGGGCTCTATCCCAGGACCCTGGGATCATGACCTGAGCCGAAGGCAGACGCTTAATGACTGAGCTACCCAGGCGCCCCCCTAATAAGGACATTTAATAACTAAGTAATAATAAAGCTGGGGTGAAAGATTCCAGAATGGCTAATTGGCTTGATAATGGTTTAGCATTTGTGTAATTCTCTATCTCAAGATGGCTGCATTAGTTTCACGCATCATGCCTTATGTAACAGTAACCAAAGTAGGAAAGGAAGTGGCAGGTAAAAATGGGCCTTCTTGTGTGTTTCTCTCTCATCAGGGAAGAAAGCCTCTCTCAGAATCCCTTCAGCAGAATTCCCCTCAGATTTCATTGGCCAGAACCAGGTCACTGGCAGAAGGAATAGGAATGCTATCTGCCTGGACTGCCATGTTTTATCCCCTAGAACCAAGCCTTCGCTACCCCAATGAATCAGAGGTTTAACTTCATAAGGAAGAAAGGGCAGCAGGCAGGCCTTCCACACATGGTCAGCGGTTGCCTTTCTCTGGGGGAAAAAATTATGTAACTTTCAGGGATCATTATACTAGTTTTGCCAACATAAGGGATTCTGATGGGCTGGAAATTTTTTTTATGTGTTCTGCATAATTTAGTTTATGTTACTTTTACATTGAAACAGTCTGGAGCATCATTTTGGCAGCTAGAGCACTCAGCTTTGACTTTGGTGGTACTGTTCTGTGGATGTTTTTTTCGCCAGGGCAGTATGAAGAAATAGGTGGGTTTGGGAAATAGGAAAGACGGCTTCCTCATTGTGTTTTCACTGACAGCGTCAAGGTTTCCACTGAAGATGTAATCAGTGTGGGGTGATGGTGGTGTCTCATTTGACCATCACAACTGTCTTGTAGTTTGTATTGTCATTTTACAGGTGAGAAAATTGAGGCCTGAGAAGGTTAATATGTATGTAAATGGTGGCTAATATGTTATGAGGATAGGGCTCAAATCCTCGGTCTTTCGATTCTAAATTTCCTGCTCTTTTAGGCACCAGATTGAATGGACACATAAACTTTTTATTTATTTTGATAATAAGCTCATAAGGGCAGATGGAGCAAAAGGCTTTCTATGTGCTGTGTTCACCTGATACTAGCATTTGAAAGGGCTTAGATTTTTAATTAGTTTCCACAATGTTTTTTAAGTATTATTGCCAATAAGAGGAACAGGGACAGAAGAACCTCATGGTACTGGAGTGAACACAAGAGCACAAAGACCTCCATTTCAGAATTCTAGCCCAGGTAGATGTGGGAAGAACATAAGCTTTGTGTTCAGACACACCTGGATTCACATCCTGGCCTGACCACTTATTTTTCATCTCTGTGATATTGGGCAAGTCCTGTAACCTCTGAGCCTTTACACGTTTTCCTGTAAAATAGGGATAATGACCTCTTCTTTATTGTTGTTGTTTACTTTTTGTAAGGATGAATTGGAATGATGCACAATTTCTAGCAGAGATCAGGCATATAGTGCATGGAGCTACTATAATAGTGGTTATTTTGTATGAATACATTCAGTAAAGGTTAAATATGAAGTTAACAGTTTTTTCCCAAAATCCTTTAGCTATTTCAGTTTTGCAGTTGTAGATAAATATATTAGGCATGTAGGGATATAAATTAGAACCATGAGTTGCTTTTGTTCTACCACTTTTTATCTCTAGACTTGCTTTGCCTTTATAAATGTTCTCTTTCCCCCAATTACAGGTCCTATGGCAGTGTATACAAAGCTATTCACAAAGAGACCGGTCAGATTGTCGCGATTAAGCAAGTTCCTGTGGAATCAGATCTGCAGGAGATAATCAAAGAAATCTCTATAATGCAGCAATGTGACAGGTAAAGGCATGCGGTATTACTTTGGAGAGAACATAGTTTTAGATTAGCTGTGATTATTTAGAGTTTAACATGTACAGATGCATTTACTTAGAGATTTTGTGAAAGAGTTTAGGCGGAATCACTACACATGTTCTTTTCAGAAAAAATCTGATGAAAAAAATGTGTGTTTTAGTAGCTAGACTTTTATAGTTTCTATTTCTGCATAGATTTTTTTTTTCAGTAAGCCCCTTTCAAAACTAGGAAGAAGAGGCAGAGAGGCAGAAGGTGGTTCTGCTGACTTTTTTTTTCTCCTTCTGATAATGATCTCTTTTACTTCCTGTTGAGAAAATATTTCTGCAGAGATAGCTAAGAAGAGATAATCCAAATATGTTTAGCTCTAGAGACGTTAGAATATCAGACAGATCTAAAAAAGAGAATGCTTTTTTATGTATTACTCTTCCTTCCTACATTTAAAAAAGAATTCTTCAAGCTCAGAGTAGTTAAGAATTTTATTTTTGAGGAACTAAGATTTGTCAAATGCTGTAAGCAGGAAGTCAGGCCACTAGGCAACCGCAGAAAAGCACGTGGTGTGCTCTGAAATTCCGTCACAACATGAGTTGGTCACAGTGATGGAGCAGGCTTCCCCACTACTGTTTAAATTTGAGAGAGAACACAAATTTAGGGGCAACGCCAGCTCTGGGGAGCTGAAAGGAGAATGAGAACGTCTTGCACTGGAGGCTGCATCCATTCTCCTGAAGCTCTTCTGCTCAGCAGATGAGCTTAGTAGCTCTTATTTGTAAAACTTCAGCATTGGGGCAGGTGGGGCTGCCTACGAGGACATTTGCCCAGGAGACCTTAGATCTCACAGGCTTGTGAATGCAGTTATTTCTCTTCTCCCTCCCTCCCTTCCTTTTATTCTTTATACTTTTGTGGTTACTCTCTACTAGACAAAACCCTCATATTTCTTGACCAGATTGACCAGAGTTAGGTAGAAATTTTCCTTTTCCTCTGCTACAAGATACAGTATGGAAGCTCTTCTAGTCAGCACATTGGGACTTTATCACTTCTTTTTTTTTTCCTTAAAGATTGATTGATTGATTTTAGAGAGAGAGTGAGTGAGTGAGCATGAGGGATAGGGGCAGAGGGAGAGGAAGAGAGAATCTCAAGCAGAATCCCTGCTGAGCATGGAGCCTGACGTAGGGCCCAATCTCACAACCCCAAGATCACGACCCTAGCTGAAATCAAGAGTCAGATGCTTAACTGACTGAGCTGCCCAGGCGCCCCGAGGGACTTTGCCACTTCTGATATGCTACATAAGAGCTGTGTTTCAAACAGAGCATGCAAATATCTCTAAGTAAAGAAGAGTTATTTCCAAGAGCCTAGTCTGTGCTAAGCATGGTAAGGAGTACAGAGAAATACAGGGCAGAATTCTTGTCCTCTGGGAGTTTATAGACAAATTGGACAGGCCAGGCATATATATGTGCAGGAAAATCTGGCCAACGATACAAGATTATACAGGACATGTTCCAGCAGTAAATAGCTGAGATTACTTGCCTTGTAAAGGCAGTAAATACTGCAGGAATTTAAGGAAGGGAGAGCAGATGTGTAATCTGTACCTTCAGAGACTTATTCATCCATGTCTTCATTAATTGTGTGTGTGTGTGTTTCCTGCTGTCCTTGTCATTGGCATGTTTCCCAAGGGTGAAGGGGCATTTGAAATTCTGAGCACTAATGAAGCTGAGTAGGTTTTTAGCATCTCTGGTTATTATGCAACATTATTTAGCCCTGATAACAATCTAACCAATTAAAGCTGGTAGCTCTCGGTGGGCAGGTTATTTCATTTTAATGGGATGTTTGACTTTTCTCTGAAGTCTCATTGGGTATTTCTCTTCAAGCTTGATACCCAGAATTCTGGGTCTGATGCTGAATATTTTTTCTTTTTAAAATTGTTTTTAAGATTATTTATTTTAGAGAGAGAGAGGGAGAGAGCACAGGTGCACATGAGCAGCAGGGAGGGACAGAGGGACAGGGAGACAAGCAGACGCCCTGCTGAGCGGGGAGCGCGACGCGGGGCTCGATCCCGGGACCCTGAGATCATGACCTGAGCCAGAATCAAGAGCTGGACGCTTGGGGCGCCTGGGTGGCTCATTTGGTTAAGCGTCTGCCTTCGGCTCAGGTCATGGTCCCAGGGTCCTGGGATCAAGCCCCGCGTCGGGCTCCCTGCTCTGTAGGAAGCCTGCCTCTCCCTCTCCCACTCCCCCTGCTTGTGTTCCCTCTCTCGCTGTGTCTCTCTCTGTCAAATAAATAAATAAAATCTTTTACAAAAAGAGCTGGACGCTTAACTGACTGAGCTACCCAGGCGCCCCCTGAATATTTTTTCTTTATAGTAGATTGTAGTGTGATTTTTTTTTTTCTTATTACAAAGTACACGTGACTTCTTGGAAAAATGCAAACAGAAAGAAAATAAAATCACTTTTCCCTTTGGAGAGAGAATCATTGTTAAATGCTATTTTGCGTACATATCCCTTTTTGGAGTTTAGCCATGCTTACAATTATGTAACCTGTACTTTTTTTCTTTCTTTCTTTCTTTTTTTTTTTTGTAAGCAGGATATCTTCCCATGTTATCAAATATTCTAATATTTTCCATAGATTCATGGTTATCCCATTATATGTCTAGATCATTATTTCTTAAATAAACTCCTTGTTGTGGGACACTTAGATCGTATCTAAGTTTTCATTGTTAAAACGTGCTATGATGGTAACTATTTCTTTTCGAATAGCTGTAGTTCTTTTCCTGGGATGATCTGTAGACCTAGAAATGCAGGTTAAAAGACCCGTACATTTTCTCACTTTGGTTATTTATTATTTAGAAAGTATTATTATCATTTATCATTTACATTTTTATTAAGAGGGTGTCTATTTTAACCTTAAATATGAACAGTTGATCTTTTGAGCAGAAAAATTTTCATGTATTAAAGGCTGTTCCACTAATTCGTATTATTGCTTTCTCTTTAGCCCTCATGTAGTCAAATATTATGGCAGTTATTTTAAGAATACAGACTTGTGGATTGTTATGGAGTACTGCGGGGCTGGTTCTGTGTCTGATATCATTCGATTACGAAATAAAACGGTAAGTTTACCTTCTAGAACAATGCGGCTGGGCTAGTCTCTGGCCTTGTATTTGTGGGCACTCTCCTACTTCCATATCCAGAGAGATGACTGTCAGATTTCCCCTTTTCCATCATTCTTTCCCCCTCTGCTTTCTGATGCCTCCTAAAAGTGATGTTTTTGACACCAGCCTAATCCAGTGATATTTAGCATGTTTTGGGAAAGAAAACAATGACTATCAAATCTTGGTGAAGCAATGAATTTGAAATGTTTAAATTTAGATTTGGTTTTCTCCTCCTACTCAGCATGTTCACAGATTAACTTCTTCTACATTCTATTAAAGAGTAATCTCTGTGAAAGATTATTTGCCCTTACTGTGATCATTGGGATAAAAGCTAGGAGTCAAGGGTTCTACTTCAGGTTCAGTTGCTCATTCAGGAAGTATTTCTAGAATACTGTTCTAAGCCCTAGGGATACAATAGTAAAGAACACAACAGTCCTGCTCTTGTGCTCATACATTTTCTAGTAGGGCAGCCAAAAAGCCAACTGATGGTAACTAGAAAAGAAATACCAGATAGTTATAATTTCTTTGAAGGAGTGGACTGTTGGAGAGTGCTCAGTGAGCTACTTGAGAGTGGACAGCTGAGAAAGGCCACTCAGGGAGGTGGCATTTAAAGTAAAACTTGAATGACAAGATGGAGCTGTGATTTCTAAAAGAACATTCTAGGTAGGGCAATAAGCAGTGCAAAGATCCTGAGGCTAGAACGGATTTGGCACAAAGAAGGCCACTGTGAGTAGAGGGGAGAGGTGAGAGGACCTGCAGGAGATGAGGTGAGACAGGTGAGCAGGCCTGCATTCTGTTGGTATTGTTGGCCACGGTAACGAGTTTGCCTTTTATTCCAACTACAATAGGAAGCCATTGCTGCGTTCTAAGCAGGTGAGGAGCCATTTGATGATGTACATTTTAGAAGATAAACTGTGGCTTCTGTGATAGACTATGGCTTCTGTGTGGACTGTGAATGAATAAAAGTAGAAGCTAGAGACACCTTAGCCTTTAGTTTTTCTGTTTGTTTTGTTTTAATGAGAAAAACAGGAATAATACCTATACTGAGTATTTGCAGAATTGTGAAAATTAATTTAAATATGTGAAAGTACTTAGACACTCTATAAATTACAAGGTGAGAATATTTAAAAACTCAGTTGTATCCTCAAAAAATTAAAAATATAGCTACCCTAGGATCCAGTAATCACACTACTGGGTATTTTCCCAAACAATGCAAAAGCTAATTCTAAGGGATATATGCACGTTTGTTTATTGCAGCATTATTTGCAGTAGCCAAATCAAGGAAGCAGCCCAACTGTCAGTTGGTAGATGAATGGATAAAGATGTGGGGTGTAAATGTATATATACATATACATTTTAAATATTCAGTCATAAAAAAGAATGAAATCTTGTCATCTGCAACAATATGGATGGATCTAAAGAGTATAATGCTAAGCAAAATAAGCCAGAGAAAGACAAATATCATATGATTTCATTCATATGTGGAATTTTAGAAACAAGGCAAATGAATAAAGGGGGGGAAAAAAAAGAGACAAACCAGAAAAACAGACTCTTAACTATAGGGAATGAACGAATGGTCACCAGAGGGGAGGTGGTTGGGGGATGGATGAAATAGGGGTTGGGGATTAAGAATACACTTGTAGTGTGCACTGAGTAATAAATGGAATTTTTGAACCACTATATTACACACCTGAAGCTAATATAACACTATATGTTAACTCTACTGGGATTACTGCAATTAAAATAATAATTTAAAAATAAAATAAAAATTAAACAGTTGTAACTTTTGGATTATCTATATGACTGTATCCTTTTCTTAATTTACATTATTCGGAGTTAGTATGTTTTTCTAATCAAATAGGAAGTTCTTTAGCTAGGAATTACAACCTACTATAAGATATACTTAAAGAAGTCCCAAAGCTTGAATAATTTATTGAATTAAAAATTGGGCTCCAGGGGCATCTGGGTGGCTCAGTTGGTTGAGCGTCCAACTCTTAATCTCAGTTTAGGTCTTGATCTCAGGGTTGTGAGTTCAAGCCCTGTGTTGTGCTCTGTGCTGGGCATGGAGCCTACTTAAAAAAAAAAAAAATTGGGGTTCCAGGCCTTCTTATCTGCAGCATTAAGTTATTTTGTTTCAGGTATTTTGAAACAATCCAAAACTAATTTTGATAGTGCATTTGATGTTTTAATATTAGTTTATTGTATTTATGTAATTTTTAACTATTAAGTGCTGATCTTTAATTATTACACATGAATTTGTAAAATGTTTTAATTCTGTCTTGTCCAGCATGGTAGTCACTATCTACGTGTGGTTATTGAGGCCTTTAAAGGTGGCTAGTCTGAATTGAGATGTGCTATAAATATAAAATACCAAATTTTTAAGAATTATTACAAAAAGAAAAACATTAAAAAAACTTTACATTTTTATATATTGATCACATGTTGAAATGATAATATTTTGGATAAATATGGTTAAAATATCAAAATAAATTTTGGGGTGCCTGGCTAGCTCAGTTGGAGGAGCATGCACCTCTTGATCCTGGAGTCATGAGTTCTAGCCCCACGTTGGGTATGGAGATTACTGAAAAAATAAACTTAAATTAATTTTGCTTTTTTTTTTTATGTTGGCTACTAGAAAATTAAAAGTTGTACTTATGGCTCACATTATATTTCTATTGGGCAGTGCTCCCTTAACTGATTAGCTTAAATGGTTAGAATAAGACGTCAGTAAGTCACATGAACTTTGTTCTCTTAGGCCACAGAAGGTACCCAGACTCTAGTTTGCAGCCTTGCCAATAGTGTTTGCTTGGACTGCAGTGAGAGCTCTATCATTTGTTAGCACAAATTACTTGTTTGTGCTTCAGCTTTGTTTTCTATAAAATGGTGGTGATAATAGTACTTATTTAGTGTGATTTTTATAAGGATTTAATGAGATTACAAAAATAGTGCCTACCGTAGAATAAATGCTTAATAATTAGCTATTTTTAATTTTATTAGCCGAGTGTCTGGCTCATTATTGATACTTATTAACTATTTGTTAATTAATTGGTAGCATAATAGTTATTAAGCCATGTGTATTCTTACATGCCTTATTTCATTTGATTTTCATGACATTCTTGATGAGAGTGGTAGTCCTGTTTTATAGATTGAGAAACTGAGACCAAGAGAAGTTCGACAACTCACTTAGGTCACACAGCTAGAATGTAGAGCGAAGGGTAAAAACTAGGTCTTTCTAATCCCGAATACCATGTTTTTTGCACCACAGCATACTCTCTTCTAAATGTGAGTTGTTTGTCAGAAGGGAGACTGAGAATTTGTTGATGGATTGCATTTGTTTAGCACTGGAGTTGGGTCTGCACAAAATCAGCATGGAACTGAGCAGATATTCTGTGTCAGTCGGCATTCTTGCTTTCATTTGTAAATCATCATTCAACAAATATTTTTCAGGACCTGCTATGTGCCAGGTGGCTTTCTTGGTGCTAGGGATAGTAAATAGTAAACAATAGTAAATAGTAAACAAACCAAAGATATTTTATTTTTTATTTATTTATTTTTAGTAAGTTTGAAGGTGTATGTATTTATCCGAGAGAGAGAGAGGGAGAGAGAGGGAGAGGGAGAGCACATGTGCGCATTCTTGTGCATGAATTGGGGGAGGGGCAGAGGGAGAGAATTTTCAAGCAGACTCCCTGCTGAGCACGGAGTCTGATGTGGGGCTTGATCTCACGGCTCTGAGATCATGACCCAAGCTGAAACCAAGAGTTGGATGCCCTTACCCAACTTAGCCACCCAGATGCCCCCAAAGACATTTTAAAATGGGGCTTATGTTCCTAATAGGGAAGATAACACATGATAGGTATACAAATAACATGTAATACGTCAGATGGGGATAATACCGTGTTTACCAACAAGGTAGGATAAAGGGGTGGAGAATGACCTAGGACTGGAGGGAATTGGGGAAGCCCTCTCTGACTTTCTGGATGCAGAGCAGTGTAGGCAGAGAGAACCCGAGATGCAAAGGTCCAGAAGTGGAAGTGTGCTTTGAGTGTGAGGAATAGCAGAGGAAGGCTACGAGGCTGAAACAATGAGAAAGGCAAAAACTAGTAGAGCGTGAAGGTAGCTGGGAACCAGATCATGTAAGACTAGGGTGGACTGGCTTTAATTTTGAGTGTCTTAGGAAGCCAGTGGAGGGTTTTGAGCAGCTCTGGCTTGCATTTTGAAAGATTCATTATGGCACGCCGCCATGTGGGAAATGCATTGTCCAGGGTCAAGGGCAGAAGCAGCAAGACCAGTTAGAGAATTATTAGAATAGTTCAGGCAGGACATGCTGGTGGCTTGGACCAGGGTAATTAGTGATTACAGAGGATATATTTGGATATATTTTGAAGATAGGGAAGAGCCAGGGATGACCTCAAGGTTTTTGGCCAGGGCAACTGAAACGGCCTTTCCCTGAGAGAGCAGACTGTGGGAAGAATAGAGTAGGTTGGGTGGGTGGTAAGGAGAGGGGTGGGGTGGCGGTAGAAGTACAGAATTTGATTTTGATGTGTTCTGCTAATGATGCTTGTTAGGTATTCATTTGGAGATATTGTATAGGCAGGTAACGTGAATCTGGGGAGGAGATGTAACTTTAGAAGGGGTTAGTGGAGTGATGGTATAAGCTGTCAAATGCTGTCACAGGTTGAATAAGACCTTATATTCTAGGAAGGGAGCTTGGATCTGATTTTTTTTCCCCTTTTTTGAATGTAAAATGATGTAAACTGATGGAATTTTAATCTGTCATTCTTTTTTTAGTTAACAGAAGATGAGATAGCTACAATATTACAATCAACGCTTAAGGGACTGGAATACCTTCATTTTATGAGGAAAATACACCGAGATATCAAGGCAGGAAATATTTTGCTAAATACAGAAGGACATGCAAAACTTGCAGATTTTGGGGTAGCAGGTCAACTTACAGTAAGTAAAAATATTACTTTTATTGGTAACTTTCAGCCCTGTCCGGAGAAGGAATTCCTTTCATTTTAGTTATTTTTTCAATAAAATACTCAATTTCATTGTATTTGTGAAAAGGTTATAGAAGGTGCCACTAAGTTATGAAAGAGCTAGTAGGTTGTTATAGATCCTTTCCTGGGGTTTAGGTCCCATGGTTTAACTTTGATAAAAATAAAAGCTTGAACAAGAAATGACAGAGTGGAAGTTCAAATTCTATTCATCATATTTGCAAAAGGAGAAAAATTCAATCCAAACTGCTTTCCTTGAATAAGACATAACACCATCTCACCCAGGTAGCAGTTGGCAATTACTTTACTGAAAACTCTCTCCTCGTCTGGTTCCAGGATACAGTCTTTGGATTCTCCTCCTACCTCACCAGTGGATGGCAGTGACAAAAACCGTGTTTTCAAAACAGGAAATACAGAATTACCTGATTTTGAAGAATACTTAAGTATATATGACATATACATAGAAAAATAGAAACAGTTCTGGACAGATTTGTACTAAAATTTGCAACAGCATTATACATCAAACAGTTTTCTGGGGTGGTAGAAAAAGTATTTTTTGTTTGTTTAGGGCTGGTATTAGGTAGAGTTTTTTGGTTTTTGTTTGTAAATCTGCCTGGATTATGTTAGGGAGTTTAATAGGTATTGCAGTGGCACAAAAATTGCTTTGATGTTTAAGAAAGAAAATCAGAAACTTACTCCATATTGTGATTACTGGACCTTTCAAAAGATATTGTTGTTAACACATAAAGTGCTTCTAGGGAACGATTTATGCTTCCAACTGTAGTATATAAACGTATATAAATCCAATTGGGGGGGACCTGACTGGCTCAGTTAGTAGAGAGTGTGATCCTTGATCTCAGGGTCATGAGTTCAAGCCCCACATTGGGTGTGCAGCCTACTTAAAAATAAATAAATAAAATAATTAATAAAAAAAAGAATGTACCCATTTTCCCTTGTATTTGCCAATACTGAATGAGCAATAAATTGTATTTTTAAAATCATTTTTGAAACAATATTTTTACATTTGATTATTGGCCATTTATAATTCTTTTGTAACTTAACTGTTCATCTTAATTTTCCTAATTGTGTTGGACCTTTTAAAAAAAATCTCTGCTGAAAAAGATAAACCAAAACTTAAAAAAAAATTATATGTTGAAATTGTTAATCCTTTGTTATATATGTTGAAACGTCTGTTTGTAATTTGCTAGTTATCTTTTTACTTTGATTATGGTTTTTGGAGGTTCCAAATTTTATATAGGGAAATCCACCTCCCTTTTATGTTATGGTTTCAGCCTTCGATGTCACCTTTATTTTTTTTTTAATTTTTCTTTTTTTAAAGATTTTATTTATTTGACAGAGAGAGACACAGTGAGAGAGGGAACACAAGCAGGAGGAGAGGGAGAGGGAGAAGCAGGCTTCCCGCCGAGCAGGGAGCCCGATGCGGGGCTCGATCCCAGGACTCTGGGATCATGACCTGAGCCGAAGGCAGATGCTTAATGACTGAGCCAGCCAGGCACCCCTCGATGTCACCTTTAAAAGACCTTTTCTGCTCCAACAGTATATAACTGTTCATCTATACTTCCTTTTAGTACTTTCTGGATTTCGTTCTTTGTATTTAAATTTTCAACCTATTTGAACTTCCTTTGGTGGAAAGTATAAGTTAGGAAATTAAATACAGAATTTTATAAATGACTAGCCAGATGACCAGCACTGTTTTTTGTCCTTTGCTTGGTAGTTTAGAATGACATTTTAATCAGATCTTCAAGCTGTGTGTGTGTATGTATCTGTGTGTGTATGTCTGTATCTGTGTGTGTGTGTGTATGTGTGCACACAAATAAATACCACATACATAGCCATAGTCTGTTTCTGGATTTAATATTTTTTCTTGTTGTGCTACTGTGCTAATATAACTTTGTCGTACAGACCAAGCTGGGTTAGTATCCACTCATTACTCTCTGTTTTCAAAAAATTTCTAGATATCCAAATACTCCTTTCTAAATAATGAGTATTTCAAGGATATAATTCTTGAAAACAGCTTTGAGTAGCCCCATTTGAAAACTGCAAATTTAAGTTTTGGAGCAAAGGAAATGACTAAGCGATAAGTTAGTTCCTGTGCTAGTTTTTTACATAGGACCGACAAAGTGAGATCAATTTAAAAATATTACCTGTCCTTTGCTCCTGACTGGCACAGCCTAACTGAGGCCACAGGCATTTCAGAAGGAACAAGAGTGATGATGATGGCAAGTCCTGTTGCATATTTAGTTCTGTTTAAAATCCTTCTCTTCCTAAAATACAGGAGCTCTAGAAAGGTTCTCTTTCATTAAGGCCACACTGTTCTGGGGAAGTAGGCAAGTAATGTGTGCTAGATTCATATATTTTTCTTTAAGACCCAAACTAAGACTTTCTCTATGTATACATTTTATTTTATAGCATATATGTATATGATAAAAGAGAAATTATACGTGTACATAGACACATACATATATGATTTTTCCTTTTTTAATTTTCGGATTGCACAGGTACTATATATTCATGTAAACCATCAGAGTGTTACAGAAGTATATGGGATGGAAAGTAAAAGTCCTTTGTGATTCTACCTTCTAGATGTAACTGTTGTTAATAGTTCAGTGTGTATTGAGATTTTTCTTTTGCTATCCATATAACAACGATATTTATTATTATCAGTTGCTGTTTTGTTGTATATATATACAACAATATAATTTTGCAACCTAATTTTCTCTTTACAGTATGTCTTGTACCTTTTTCCATGCCAGGAAAATGTACCTATCTCCTTTTTAAAAAATATATGGTGGATGGGGCGCCTGGGTGGCTCAGTCGGTCAGACTCTTGATTTCAGCTCAAGTCATGGGATCAGAGTTGTGGGATCGAGCCCCACATTGGGGCTCCTGCTCAGCAGGGAGTCTGCTTGAGAGTCTCTCTCTCTCTCTCCCTCCCTCTGCCTCTGTCCTCCTCCCCGCCCCCCTCACCAGCTTGCGTGTGCAGTCTCTCTCTAAACTAAGTAAATCTTTAAAAAAAGTATTTGAGAGAGAGCATGTGTGCGAGCAGGGGTGAGGGGGGTTGGGAGGGGGAGAAAGAGAGAAGCAGACTCCCTGCCAAGCAGGGAGCCAGATGCGGGGCTCGGTCCCCAGAGCCTGAGATCATGACCTGAGCCGAAATCAAGAGCTGGACGCTTAACCAACTGAGCCGCCCAGCTGCCCCTAAATAAGTCTTTAAAAAATATGGTGGATATTTATTGTATTTGATTTACACCCTTTTGATGGTTATTTGAGTTGTTTCCTTTTTCTTTTCCCTGCCTCTCCTACAAATATTTCTCCAATACTTGTGCATATATCTTAGGGGACCTGCACATAGGATACATTTCTAGAAAAAGATTTGGATCAAAGGAAATGGACATTTAAGTCTATAAATATTGCCACATTGCCCACAAATCTTGTACCAATTTATACTCTAGTAATGCTGTTTCAGTGCCTGACTTTCTAGCACTAGTTTTTTGGTTTGTTTTTTTTTTAAGATTTTATTTATTTATTTGACGGAGAGAGACACAGCGAGAGAGGGAACACAAGCAGGGGGAGTGGGAGAGGGAGAGGCAGGCTCCCTGCGGAGCAGGGAGCCCGGGGCTCGATTCAGGACCCTGGGATCATGACCTGAGCCAAAGGCAGACGCTCAACGCCTGAGCCACCCAGGCGCCCCATCTAGCACTAGTTATTATTAACCTTTTAAATTTTTGTCAACTTCATTTTAGTGTTTGTTATTTTTTTATATAATGAGTTTTTTTAATGTGTGCGTTTTAAGAATTGAGAATCTTTTATGTTTCTAGGTCATTTGAATTTCTTTTGTGACCTGCTCAATCATGCCTTGAGTATGGTTTTTATATGTATCCCAAGTACAAGATGTTTCTTATTGTTGGAAAAGTCTCTTTTTCTCAATAGTTTTAATGCTTACGGTTGATCTCTACTCTTCTCTGTTTTAGGATACCATGGCCAAAAGGAACACAGTGATAGGAACACCATTTTGGATGGCTCCAGAAGTGATTCAGGAAATCGGATACAACTGTGTGGCAGACATCTGGTCATTGGGAATAACTGCCATAGAAATGGCTGAGGGAAAGCCACCATATGCCGATATCCACCCAATGAGGGTAAGGAAACCAGTAGGGTGCTTAGCTCCTGGGCGTCATTAGAAGGTTGGTGACTTATTTGATTTAGGTACCAAACAGTAAATGAATTAACTGTGTATAATTGGTAAGTTGTCAGTCTAGACTCCACTAGTGGTAGTCACTAATCAATTCAAGTGTGATCCACCACCTCCATTCCAGAGGTTGTGTACTGATAGCCACCTGACAGGACATAGGTCACAGAAATGCTTGGTTTGGCTTGTGCAGTGTGTGTTTTTTAATAGTTTAGGTGCTCACATTTTAACATAATGTTAACTGAAGCTGAGTGGTGGTCCCCTCCTTTATACAGGTCACCGGCTTTCCACTTTATCAGTCTCCAAGATTCCCTAATCCCCAAGTATGCCTTGTCACTCATAACAGTGTTTGCTCTACTGTTTTTCTCATCGGAGTATTAAGAGGAAAGCAAACTGTTTTTCTGAACTCATTTCACTAACACCCAGCCCGATTTGTTTGTTATCTTTTTCCTGCCTTGCCCTCAGAGGTGTTTACATTGGTAAGTCCTGCTTTGTAGATCCGCAGACTCTCTTCATCTGGAGGCTCTGTACTTTGCAGCCTCCATGGATTTCTAGAACAGTAAGGGCCCATAGGTCCAGTCTCCCCCAGAGCTATCAGCGTGGCACCCTGAGGGGTTTGTAAGCTGTACCCGCCCCAGACCCCTCATCACAGCACTGTTAAAC